TTATTGAAAATTATTGTATCAAGCCCTTTAAATTTTTATACACGTAAAAGTAAAGCAAAATATAACTTCTTTATTATTTTTATAATTTCTCCGTTTAAATTACAATATTAAATATCAATTTCATACTAAATTTAATAATTATAATTAGTATATATTCATATATTATATTTTAAAATCAAAGAACTACTAATCATGATATAATTAAAGAAATAAGAGTTGATGTTGCTTTTGGAATAATCCACCAATTGCCTAATTAAAACAAAAAAAAAAAAAGTTTGTTGGGAATTTTTTCTGCTATTCTGCAAAATTACTCCTTCGTTGACTAGAATGAATCATTAAATAGAAAATTTTATGAGAATTAAAACAATGTTATTTTTAAGATTAATATGCAGTCAGAAAGTTTTATAATTATTATTTATTGTAAATTTATCAGAAAAACTCATTATTTTTTGCATTTTTATCGTAATAGAACACTTAAATAGAAATCATAGTAATCATTTCTAAGTAATTTTTGATATTTAAAAAGATTCTACTATTGAAATATCCAGAACTGAATTAATTTTAATGATTTACTTTAACTAAAAAAAAAAAAGTTAATATTTTGAATCCCTCTTGTGGGCAGGTAAAGGGTTAGATTTATAAAAAAAACCAAATGATAGATAAAGACATGCATCTAAATAAAAAAAAATATACTGATTTGGTCATTTTTGATAAAGTTATAACAATTAACAAAGTTATAAGTTTTATACACTGGACTACAAGGAACTTCCATCAGAAACAAAAATATACTATTCTAAATCAACTTTTCGCGATGTTTTAAAATGTGCAATTAGACTTTTTCTATAACTTCTAAGTTTTAATATTATTAAAAAATAGTTTTTACATATAAAAAAAAATAATTAAGAACAAAAAAAATTGTTTTAAATTAATACTGATTTGATATAATATTTAATATTAATTTGATTATTAATAAGTTAAAAATAAGGAAAATGACATATTTAACCTATTTTGTTAATCGTTTAAAGTTGATTGTTGTAAATGTTTATAATAAAAAAAAAAAATTTATTTTACCATAACTTTTAGCTCAATTGGTAAGTTTGACATTGACATAATTAAATAGAAAATTTTATGACAATTAAAAAAATTGTATCGTTAAGATCAATATGCAGTCAGAAAGTTTTATAATTACTATTTATTGTAAATTTATCAGAAAAGCTCAATATTTTTTTGCATTTTTATGGTAATAGATAACTTAAATAGAAGTAATAGTAATAATTTCCTAGGAACTTTTGTTGTTTGTTGAAAAGATTCTATAATTGAAATATTGAGAACTTAATTAATTTTAATGATTTACTTTAACTAAATGTACCAATCAAAACAAAGTTGTTAAAAAGATTTACTCAATTGAGTGTATTATAAAATTTGATTATATTTGTAAAAATCAATTGTTAATTCAGGAGAAAAAACAATCATTTTTTTTAGAAATGATTTATATAGCAACATGTTACAAAAAAAAATTGTAATATTATAGTCTAGTAGTAGCACACACAAATAGAGTAAAAAAATTATTAAATTACAAAGTAAAATGATTTAATTTTGTAGTTGAAACCTATCATATCAAACTTCATTCGTTAATAAATATTTTGAAAACATTAGAAATTAATGATTTTAATTGTCTTTATGGAGACGATGTAATAACTAACTGTTTAATTGATAAATTAGAATTTTTTTTTCAATTTTTGAGAGTAATATCTTCAACTAGATACGAATTGTAGTAATTTGACGTATTGTTGAAAAAAGTAGGTCAAGTTAGAGCAGAGAAAATAAATGATAGTCACAAAAAAATATCTTCTCGGCTTTGCATCGAAGCGAAAACTTAAAATATAGTAAAATAATTTTAATACGAATAAGAAATTTCTTCTTGCAAGGGGCGACTAAAGTGATGGGATCCTTGATCTTTATTGAAGTTATTGAATCTAAATGTGATAAAAATCAAACGAGTTAAAATTTATACTAACTTAAAAAGAATTAAGAAAAAATGCAAAAAATTCATTGCCATATGCGGGTTGGAACCTCGTACCCCAAGCGTGTAAAACATAAATTTTACCAACTCGGCAACCGTACGTTGCTTCCGGCGGTTGAAAAATTGGCTATTTAAGCTAGTTCAAATTTCAAAGTTATTTTTCTCGACTTAAAAGAAACAAACATATTTAAATAAGTTTAACTATCTATACTATATCAATTTTAATTTATATAATATTTATGAAAATCTGTACTCCCCTTGTCAGGTATTTTAAAATAAAATAAAATACAAAACCCAGAATTTTAACACAAAAATAGCATATTTTTGCATACGGTAGTCATTTTTACCATGAAGACAAATCCAGAGGTCAAATTTTTTTTTTTCACATTAAAGTATATTACATAAGCTTTAATTTAAGATATATTTAAAAGTGTCAGTATTTCCGGAATACTTTCAAAAATTAAATTGAAAATATCGTAGTAACAATACGCATGTTTAAAGTTTTGACCCCCCTTGTTAAAGGGGTATGATCCGATTTACAAAAAAAGCGTGCCAGATGAAAGGGGTATATCAATATTTATTATAAAAAAATAATAATATAGATCCATACATTTTTCCAAAAGTTATATAAAATATAAATTAAATAATATAACATATAAAATCGAGATTTTTTTCACGGAAATCGTACGTTTTTCTTTAACTTTGATGTCCGTTTTCACCACGAAGACAAGTCCAGAGGTCAAATTTTTTTTTTTCATAATAAAGTACATTACATTAGCTTTAATTTAAGATATACAGTGGTTTCCGCTTAATATGGGCACGTTGGGACCAGAATTGTTTGCCCACATTAAGCGGTTGCCCATAAAAACCGAAATTAGTTTAAAAAATTTTAATGATATCAAAAAAAATTTATTTTACACACGTTAATCATACAATTGAAAAAAAAATGTTAAATTACCACGTATATTAATTAAATTAAATATAAAGTACATTATTTCTAAAAACTTAATATTTAACTAAAATATTACCCACTTTAAATAATATCATTGTTGATGATCAACATGGCTTCACTCGTAACAAGAGTACGATTACTAATCTGCTTAACTTTCATACTTTTGTTTCTGATGCTATGTCAGATAAATCAAATGTAGATGTTGTTTACACAGATTTTCTAAAGCTTTTGATAAAATTAATCATCAAATTTTATTTTATAAATTAGAGCAAATTGGTATTTGTGGTAACTTTCTATCCTGGCTTATTTCTTTTATCAAAAATCGACATCAAATAGTTGCATATAAAGAATATTGGTCTATACCTATACCTGTTACGTCGGGTGTTCCTCAAGGGTCTCATTTAGCACCAATTTTATTTTTAATTTTTATTAATGATATTACATTTCAAAATTGTTCTCAATTAATGTTTGCTGATGACATAAAAATGTTTCGTAGAGTTAATTGTCAATCTGATTCTGATTTACTTCAATCAGATCTAAACTCTCTTTATGAATGGTGTATCAATAATAAATTTACACTTAATATTAATAAATGTAAGATAATGTAATTTTCCAGAGCTAGAATCGTTCCTAAATTCGTATACCATATAAATGCAGAAATATCTCGTAGTATGGGACCGATAAAAGATCTTGGTATTTTGTTTGATTCTAAACTCAAATTTGATAGTCCTATTAATAATATTTTTATAAGATCAAACAAAATATTAGGCTTCATTCAACGTAATTGTTGCGACTTTACCGATAAGGATGCCTTTAAATCCATTTTCTGCTCGTTAGTTCGCTCAATTTGTGAATATAGCTCCATAATTTGGTCTCCTTACCAAACCAGTTATAAATTAAAATTGGAAAAAATCCAACAAAAATTCTTACGCTTTATTTCTTTGAAGTGCTTAATACCAAGAGAACCTCAATCTTCATACACCCCTCTATTAGCAATTATGAATCTTGAGACATTGGAACTACGAAGAATGCGGTTAGATATTTATTTTACCTTTAAAATTTTTGCTGGTCAAATAGATTGTCCGATACTTTTGAATCAATTTTCATTTCATATATATAAAAGTGTCAGACCTTCCGGAACATTTTCAAAAGTTAAGTTGAAAAAGTTAATTTTTTGTAAAAAAGTTGTCATTTTAAATCCCCCCTGTGGGCAGGTTAAGTGTCAGATTTACAAAAAATATATACCAAATGATAGATCAAGACATCAAGCATCTATAAAAAAAAAAAATGATATTGTTATGTTCATTTTTGAAAAAGTTACAGCAGTTTTTAGTAAAAAAATTGAAAAAATTTCGAAAATTAGCGATTTTTAAATTTGTATTTTTTTTGGAGGTTTCCCCCATTTACGGGGAACGAGGGAAATTTTTTTCAATTTTTGAGGGTAATGTCTTCGACTAGATACGATTTGTGATCTTTTGACGTATCGTTGAAAGAAATCGGTTTGGTAAGAGCTGAGAAAAAGTGGAAACAGACACACACAAAAAAAAAAAAAACATCATAGTAAAATTAATACCTTCTCAGCTTCGCATTGAAGCTAAAAATTATGGGTCTATAACAATTTTAGAATAAGTACTTATTGAGTTAAAAAATTCAGAGAATATGTAGTAAAAGTGGGTTTAACTTTTATTGGTATATGTACACTCAAATTTTTAAGATTTATTTTTTTATAATTATTGATTGAAAAAAATTAGGCTACTTGATTTGAAAACGATAACTATACATTTTTTTTTATATAATTGTTAGATATCACTTTACATAAATATATAAATATATAAATTTTATATATTTTTTATAAACAGTTAACTTGTATTATCATCTTTTTAGTTAACAGATCCATAACAGTTAATATTCCATCACCAGATGCACTAACAAGTTGATTGTCTAAAGAAATCATTGAATTTATACTATCTTCAGTTTTTTTAAATGCAAATCTACATCCATTTGTTCGAATGTCCCACACTAAAAACAAATTATAATGCAAATAAACAAAATATTCTAAATATCACTATTAACTCTACCATTAATTAAACCATCTTCATCTCCAGTTGCAAATGTATTATTATCAATAAGGCATAATGAAGTCACAAAACCTCTAAAATCAAAGAAAAATTGCAACATCAAATATTTAAAAATAATTGTCTTAATTTCTACCCTTCTCGGTGAGCTTTTTCAAATAAACTTTCATTTCCACAGTTTCTGTATCAGATACAGAAATATTATTCTTACAAGCTGAATAAATGTAATTACCCAATTGATCGAATTCTAAAAGCATTACTTTTTTTAAGTGAACATTATCTTAGTTCTTAAAAAGTCATTTTTTTCTTTGTCATTTTACCTATGAAACCCAAAAAAATATTTTCAATACATATATATATATATACACAGGGTGTTCAGTAAGTCAGGAAACGGGTTTCTATTATTCTCATTGTTTGTAACAATTGACCTGTTTCCTAACTTACTGAACACCCTGTATAAATATATTAATTTATAAATTAATATAAATCAATTATCATATATCAATACAACACTCAAAGACAATTTACTCACATAGAAATATTTCCATTTGAAAGAACAGTAGCAATAATATTAGTACATGGATGAAAAGATAATTCAACAATAAGAACATTACTTCCTACATTTAAATTAGGAGGATGGTTTCTATTTCTTTCGGAACTAGCAGCAATAAAAGCTGTGACTACATCATCTTCTATTTTATCATAATCATTAGGAACTTGATTTTAATCCTCATCTACTGATGTATTTTCAACATCATTATCCATATTGTCTGTATCATCACTATCATTTGATAGATAAAAATCATCATCACTATGTTCTGAAGGATTAAACTCAATATCTGACTGTTGTTCTTTAACGTAATCATGTTCAATCATCAAGGTATTTAAACTGTCTGTAATTAAAATAATTAATTCAATAACAAATTTTTTATAATACGATAAATAATTAAAAATTACTCTAATATTTTACCTAAATTGTAGATAATGATTTAATATCTGAGAATTGATCAGTATCATATTCATTTCGTTTCCTTGATCTACTTCTTTATATGATACAGTTAAATCATCAATAGGTTCTTGTAATTCATGTAGACACATTTCACCTTTAAATTAAAAATTCCTAAAAAAGTAAATTATATTTCTAAGACATAAATATTAAAAATAATAAAAAAAAAATATCATACCTTAAAACTAAGATTAAATGAACAAATAATAATATCAAAAATGAAGTAAATTATAAAACATTAAAAATTTGTTTATTAATAGCTAATTCTAGAAAAATTATTCAATTTTGTTTACATTGAAATCTACACACGAGGGTGATTATTTTGACCTATGAACACTTCATAGTGTAATCAGAGCTACTGTCGAAGCTCTCTTGGAAAAGAAATACTGAATTAATTTCTATTGATAATGATTACAAATGAATATTTTTTATTTACTATCTTCGAGATAAAAATAACAGGCAGCTAAATATTTAAAATTAATTCAATTGAATAGAAACATGAAACAATCCTTGATGGTCTAAAACTGAATACATTTCAATTATCAAGAAAGTTTTAGCCTAGTAAGATATATAAAAGAAATAATTTAGAATTTAGCTTCAAATTAATATTGCATTATTCAGAATGTATTCTTCAAGTTAAATGTGCAATAATTTTTTGATTATAATTTTAATATAAGCTACAACTATAACTGTTGGTCGAACCATTCTCAAATTTGAGTGTATAATCACGAACAAGTAAAATTTATCCTTTGTTTTATTTATAAAATCCTAAAATAACAAGTGAAATTTTTTCTCATTACTTATTAAACTTCCAATGCATTTTTCGTATTAACTATACGAAAAAAGAATATTATATTAAATGTTTTTGGAGTGATGCAATTTTGTTTATTTACAAAATTGAGTTGTAATTATGTATTTAATTTGTAGAGTATTCACTTTTTAGATACTGTTACATTTAAATATCGTTAGATGGCGCTTTAAAGTGAAGTTTACAATTACGTCTAGTGTTGATACTTTTTAAATGGACTATAAAGTATATATACTAATTTCCAAATTTTATAGTAATATTATCAATATGTAAATTCAAAGACCCTTAAACCTAACAAACATTTAATTTTCTTAATTTGGTTAAATGATTCAAGCGAGCTAGGTCAAAATCTTGAAAATCATATGCTTTCTTTTAATTATTTATATTAGTATTAAAAATAAATGAATATTAAACTGATATACGATTATTAATAAGTTTAACTAGACATAAATCCAAAAACTTAAATAAAAATGTGTCACTCCAATAACTAGAGTGGTAGTATTCATTAGAAATTATTTTGAAGCCTAATTAAATTACTTAGTTAAAACATAATAGGATACCTCTTTTGAGAACTAATTTTTTAAGTAATTTAAAAGCTTAAAGAAAGTCGTTTCTAAAATTTGTTTACCTTGTCATGATTATCAATTTTAAATCTACAAAGAAATATCTAGTTTGACTTAAAAAAATATTGAAACATACTATAAAATTATTTTATTCTATAAAAATTATTGAATCAATTAGCGGCCGAGTTCGATATATATTATTGTAGTTGTTCTACATAATAATTTAAATCTAAGTATATGAAATTCAACTGATCGAATTCTTTGATGTCTCTTTTGATTAATTTTTTCTTTACTGTTACCAGTGTTGCCATGTTTTGTAGATCTACGGATGTACGCATGCACCTTGCGAAGAGCCCGTGACGATGATCGTGTTAGTATGTGGTGGGGTAGGAAACCACCTGACACGCCCCCACTGTTTTCCCAGTCATCACAAAGGATCTGCTATTCGCTAGCATCTTCTAATCAAGCACGGTGCGTTTAATATGTGCAGTCCGAGATACTTTTTATTATAATTGAATGTGTTTGACATTTATTTTTGTGTAGTTATAAGTGTTATTTCAGTTGTGAATTTTAATTCGGTCGAACTATATCTCTGGCTGCATATAATATTGAATAATATTCAATTCGAGTAATATTTAATATCAAATTATACACATTTTTTCTGGTCCATAATAATATTATACATTTTTCGTGATTCCGTCAATATGGCGTAGTGTTGAATGCTGCAGTTGCCGTCTTCAGTCGTCAACACAGATTGGATATTTAACATATTAGAGTTCTAAATATCAATAATAAAATAATTTATTTTACTGCCTAAGTGGTTTTTATATGTGCCAGTGTAAATTGTAATTGTATTAAAATTAGTGGTATTTAAATTTACCATTTACAAATTTGAATTGGACTAGATTTTGAGGAAACAAATATTCATCACCTAATGAAAACCCTACCGATTTTTATGTCATGGTTTCTATCGTTTCTGGAATAATCCTTGAACGGATCTTGTTTTTAGTGTGTTTATAGCTGAACATAAAGATTTGATCATACAATATGACTGCATCAATAAGATCCATTCCATCAGATAAGGTAAGGAATTAATTAAAAACTTAAATGTTTATTTATTAGTATTTATACTAAAATGATAATATTCGAAATTTGATTTGACATTTTATTCTTACAATNAAAATGATAATATTCGAACTTTGATTTGACATTTTATTCTTACAATTTCATTGTAAAAAAAACGTATGTGCTGTACTCGATATCTTTTAATAAAATATCTATTGCTGCCATACTAGTGATATACTGTTATAAATTGAAAAAGTATTGTCAAATAAGGTTTATAAACCGAAGTAAACATTTGACAGTATAGTACTCATTTTTTTAAATTTAACTTTATATCTATTTTTAAATCTTAAAATTTCTTAAATGTGTAAGTATGTATAAATACTTTATCAATTAGAAATAAAAACATTAGGAAAGTAAAATTTTGAATGAAGTTTAACTAAAATTTAAAATATTATTTAATTTTATTAAATATATTCATTTAAAATTGTTGCCCTCATTAAAAAGTTATTACATTTTTTAGTCTTTTAAACTTCTAGAAGTATATACAACTTTGTGATACAATGGCAATATTTGTAATAATGTGATTATTTTTATAACAATTATTTAGGATAAATCTAAAATTTTAAAGAATATTTTATTAGTGATTATAGTTATAATATAGCTAAAAAGTTTTCTTAATTTGTGTATATATTACTGTAAATTAGCTAATACATAATCATAAAATAGGTCATGTCTATTATATATGGCTATTAGACCTTAGGCCTAATAAATTGTACTTTTAAAGTACTAATTTTGTTTAATTTATGGTAATTAAAAAATATGATAATAAATAATTTTATAAAATTACAGGATTGGAAAAGACCAATTTTTATATCAACCTATTGCATTGGTAGTTTTATTGGGTATCTTCTAAAAAAATATCCATGAAAAAGAGACCTAAATAAAAAACTTCTTGTTAAATTTTATTGACTAATACACATGGTATTAGGTGATTTTTGACAATGATGTTGAATAATTGAAACCATATTTTGTATAACACCAATAGAAATATATTTTTTAGTTCGTGATTTTTATTATTAACAAATTTTATAATAAATAAATATACAAAAAATTTTAATCAATAGTTATATTAATAAGATAATTTATTAATATATTAATAGAATTATTTATCTTATTGAATAGTTAAGCTTTTAAACTTTTTTGGTTATTAGGTTACTATTTTTATGTCGTTGTTACTTATGGTTATATTTGAATAGTTTTTCTTCCAGTTATATTCAATAGTTTTTAAAAAACTATTGAATAATCATTTAATTTTTATTATCTACGACTGACTAGTATTTTAGACTATCGAACTATTGGATAAAATGTTTAATAATTTCATTTGAATATAAACTATTAGATGAAATACACAATAGTTCAATAGTCCAAAGTATTCTGACATGCAAATTTTCATTCAAATAAGAAGGTTATTTAGTTGTTAAATTTGCATAATATGCTGAATGGTTAGTAATCATATCATTGATGGTAATAGTTCGACAGTTAATAGTTAATAGTTTAATGTCAATTGTTTGATAACTAAACATTCATTTTCAACGGCACAATAAAGAATTTACGGGATTGTACACCTCTCCATGAAATTATGAGTAATGAATTTTGTAGTCATAGTAATTTTTTTTTTTTTTTGAGTTTTTTAAATAGAGATGCAGAGAAGTTAATAATTTTGGTAAACAAAAAAAAAAAAAAGTTCAAAATTTCTGTCAATAGTAATTTATTATTTTTTTCTGAATTGAATAGTCAATAGATATTAAATAAACAAACAATTATTTCATTGTCTGTTAAAAACTAAGGTACACAATTTGTTTTTGAATTATTCATTTTTTTGGTTAAAATTAAACTTTAGTGTAAATATTTAAACAAATTGTAAATATATGTACACAATACTATATTACCTTAAGTTATAATTTTTTGGCAAATATTTAAAAATAAAAAACAATTTTGTACTTTATAAATAAAACTTCATAATTAGTTTTATATAATTAAATTTCAATTTTAGAGAATATAAAAAAAATAAATAGAATTTATTGAAATTTATTATGTGGTATATTCTTGTTATTATTTTGTAAATTACATTGTAAAATTGTTCCTAAATAAAAATCTAGTTTCATCATATAAATTTTATGTATTATTATTGAAAAACAAACATTTTCTGAACTATAACTTNTTCATCAATGTTTAAGTGTTTTCAATTAAATTTTATGTATTATTATTGAAAAACAAACATTTTCTGAACTATAACTTGAAGATATATATACAACATTTTCAGTTAATACTACCATTCATTTACATTAACCATTACAGTTTTCTAATTATATTACATTAAGAGTGCAAGATGGTCATATATCAAAATTTGTGATATTTGACCTAGTTCAATATTATTCTTTATATAAAATTGTAAAAAAAACATTGGCTTGAAAGTAATATAATTGATAAAACAAAGTAACTAATAGTATAATATATATATATATGAACAATAGAATGATTATAAATGTAGAAATTAAGATTATTTTATTATATAAATAAGTGTGATATATAACCTATATATAAAACCTGTATTAAATTATAAAATTTAGTTTTTTTGTATTTATCCAAAACATATTGTGTGGCAATTGTTCCAGTAGAAAATTAGATCACGAAAAAAAAAAATTTTATGATTAGTCACTTTTTACTTGGTTTCAGATGTTTTTGAAAATTTTCAAGTAAAGCAAAAATTAATCTTGAATTATATTATAATTAGTCTTTAATACTTGAAACTAAAACTTATTGGAAAAGGATAAAAGTAACAAAATCTATACACATTTAGTAATGGTTGTAGATATTGAATTTTTCATGAAAATTATCAAAAAAATTCAAATTTTACAAAAAGTTCTTTATTTATATATAAATTTTTTTTTTATCACCTTTTAAGGCCATAGTTGCCTCCCATAAAGAGGAAATTTTCTAAACCATTGATATTATATGTAGAAGGAAACTCCAATTACCAAACTAATCTCTTGCTTGACAAATAAAGCTGTCTGTGACCAAGTTTCTAACTTGAAACAGTACACATGAAGCACTGTTGCGTTAACGACTCAGCCATATAGTACCTAATGTACATTTTTTATAAAATACTTAAGTATATAATTACATTATTATAGTATAAATATTTATGAATCAAATTAATAAATAAGGTTATGATTTGTATGTACTTGGGATTTATGGGTAAATTTTGTATAAACTAATAAAACTAGAAGTATTATTGACTAATAAATTGAAATATGTGTAACTTTTTGTAGTCTTTATCCAAATTTATAGAAACTACTGGAGTATGTTATTTTCTTTAATTTTTGAAACAAGCTTCAAAGTCTGTACCTTCTTATGTGTTGAACCGTAACATTAATTTAACATATTGCTCCAATACTTTACATAGATTTTGATTATTTATTTGAATCAAGGAGAATAAAAAAAAAATGGTTTAAATACTTAATTAAAATGTTACATTAAAATTGATTTTTTATTCTAATATTTTGTAACTATATTATATGTATTAAAATTAATTATAAAATTTGTGTGTAGTGGTTTTCTGCTGTGTTCAATACTTGATTATATTTTAGTGTTAATTTTGTCTTGCTCTGATAATTTAACTTTTTTAATTAAAAAAAAATTTTGTTACCTTAAAATGTTATTAGGACACTTTTAAAAAATTAATTTCACATCATTTTGTTATAATTATCAACTGAAAATTCAAAGTCTTATTTTTGGGTAGATATTTATTTTTATCACTAATAAAAAATTAAAAAAATTAACAAATATTATTATTTTATATTTTTGTACTTAATAATGTATTGATGGTAAAAATTAAAGAATTATTCAATGATTATAACAGAGTATATATATTTGATAAAAATTATGGAGTTGAAGTAAACACTTTTATATTGTACAATTTTAGTATGTTCAGTATTGTAATTTAAATTGTAAAGAAAGTTGAATGGAAGAATTTAAGGATGGGTAGATTAAAGTAACATATAGAGTTTTAGATCCTCAAAATTATTAATAACTTTCTCATTTGAATAAGTGTTGAATGTAATTAATCAAAAATAAATTGATATGTTGACCCTTCTATGATTTTAGTTTTAAGTCAATATTATGACTTTATAGTGTTGAATTATAATACAATAATTACCTTAGTGTAGAACCAACTTCATTCATTACTTACATTATGACAAAAAATTGCCCTTCAGAAATCAAATACTCTAATAAGTTATTCTTTAATTTTTTTAGAGATATTATTGCTTTTCAAAAATTTTTGCTTGCTTATCTAGATAATATTTAAAATTTGTGTTACTATTATAACAATACGCTTAAAATCCTAGTTCTTATTTTTTAAATTTATCCATTTTGTTTAAATATTAAGTAGTTCATAAATTAACTTCCAATTTATTACCATTGATTTATAAGTGTATGTCTTATTACATTAATGAAACATACTGTATTTCATTAAAAATAGCATATATCAATACATATTTTTTGCTAATGGTATATATATTAACTGTAATATAAATTTTACAGTTATTTACGGTACTTTTAAATAATATTTTAATAATGATATAAATTTAGTTAATTATAATTCTTATTTCACCCAATAATCTAAGGGTTTTATCGCAGTTTAGATGATTGAGCTATGATTGTTGTACTTGTTGGTTGTTCCAACTGAAAATTTGATAAAAATGTTTTAAAACTAATTTAATCTGGCTTTTATTTGATAAAATGTTGTTTGTTTTTATTAAGTGTAAAGAAGTATATTAGTATGAGATGTTTAAATAAAACTCTATCTATTGTTTACATTGTGCTTCCATTATGCGTGCAAAATTAAGGTACACAATCATAACTGTCATAAATTTATATGGTTATTTTAGTAGAGTATTCATGACAAAGTCTCTTAGTAATTTTTGAAGTTATCTTTTTATTTAAAAAAAATATTGTATTCGTTTGGAATTATTTTTTCAAATTCAATCTCTCTGTATAAAAATTTTATCGTCAGTATGAATTTCATATAAAATATATATGTCTTAATCTTTCTTGATTTTGTTACATAATTACCGCTTTACTTGAGGTGAAATAACTATGTATTAACGTAATTACAATTACTTATTATATGTTACAAAAATTTTGATTATTTATCTGATTTATAAGCTATTTACGTGACTATTATAAGTGTCATAAATTTTTGTCTATGTTTATTATATTATTTGTTCACGTTGTTGTATTTTAATATAAACTCGTATATTTTTTACTCTGACACAAATATGCATTTTGTTTTAAATGCGTTACTATTATTCATTAAATTTATTTTATATTTTATATTTATTCGAGGGTCTTTTTTGTCCTTATTTATAATTAGTATTGATTAATATTAATATTTTCTTTATATGTATTCTTTTAATCCTTTTTAAAAGTCAACTATTAGAGATGTAAGAAGTATCTGTAGTAATTGCAATAATAATTCCAGTTATTTTATAGTCATGATTGGTAATTCTATATTTTTTTTTTAATTTGTATAAGAACTCTCAATTTTTAAATAACTACAATGTGAAAATTATAACATTTAGAAAGAAAATATTTTAGATACTATTTATTTTGATTAATACAATTCAAATGGCTTTGACCGTTTTTCATTCGATAATATCAGTTTTCCGCGTTTGTCTTTCTGTAGTCTACTTAAGTCGCGTACTGCAAACCGTCATAATATCGATTGTGTCCTTCACCCGGAGTGTTCACTGTTTTGTACACTCCTTTTCCCCTCTTTCACCCTTAAAGCGTGTATCTGGGCTGTGATGACCTATTTTTTTTATAAACCGCGTGAATTATCCAAACAGCTGATATGATACCAGTGACCTAATTTCTATAAAATCCTAAAAAGCACTTAATAACACACAGAATAATTTAAATTTGTAAAAAAAATCAATTATTAAATTTTGTACCTACTATGTAAAATTTGGGGCGTCTACTTTATTGATTTTAATTATTTCTTTATATGTAATACTTAATAAAAAATCTTTTCAATTCGATTTTACAGCATTAAAAAATTTTGGGTATGAAAGTAGAGTATCTAATAGATAACTTAATTTGATATTTTTGTTTTCATTTTAATTAAAAAAACACGGCACGATGGGAATGTGGCGTAGTTGGATCAAGTATAATGATATCTGACAGTGATTAAAATCACTATCATAAAAACGCTTCGATGCAAATCTGTAGATAGTGTTTAATTTTAAAACATTTATGGATTATTCCAAAAGCTACATGATCTCCTATTTCCTGATTTATATTCTGATTACAAGTTTTATGATTTATAAGTGTAATATATGAATAAATAAATATCTATATTTATAATATATAAATATATAAAGGGAAATGGTGTTATTTAAAAAAAAAGTATGTTGAATGAAAGAGGGATATAAATATTATTTCTCATAAAAAAATTGTATTGATCCATACACTTTTGAATAAGTTATAACATTATAAAGTTAAAAATGTAAAATATAAAATCAAGAATTTTCACACAAAAATAGCATTCGGTAACTATTTTCACCGTGAAGACAAAATAAAGTCCAAAATTTTTTTTTTTCATGATAAAGTATATTACATTATTTTTAATTTAAGATATGTATAAAAGTGTCAAAGTATCCGGAACATTTTCAAAAGTTATGTTAAAAATATTAATTTTTTGTGAAAAAGTTGTCATTTTTAATCCCCCCTGTGGGCAGGTAAATTGTCAGGTTTATAAAAAAAATATACTAAATAATCGGTAAGGACATTATGCAAAGAAAATTATATCGATTTGGTCATTCTTAAAAATGTTATGGCAGTTTTAAGTAAAAAAAATTGAAAAAATTTCGAAAATTAGCGGTTTTTAAATTTGTAATTTTTTTTAGATTTCCCCCGTTTACGGGGAACGAGGGAAATTTTTTCAATTTTTGAGGTTAATGTCTTCGAATAGATAAGATTTGTAATATTTTAACGTATTGTTGAAAGAAATCGGTTCGGTAATAGCTGAGAAAAAGTGGTAACAGACACAAAAACAAAAAAAACACATCATAGTAAAATCTCAGCCTCGCATCGAAGCTAAAATTACTTCCAGCAAAAGTAATTTATTTTATCAGTTAATATCATTAAGGATAAGGATTAAGGAAATAATAATCCAAATAAATCATGGATTGTAACAATAATATTTTTAATTTAAATGTATCCGTTCATTTCATTCATTTTATCAATTATTTTATTTTCAAGAAAAATTATATTAATCGTAAATTTATAGTAAAACTATGAATTTCAATAGAGTTGGAACGGTGATCTATGAATTAGAGAATGTTAATATGATTTTGAATATGAAAAGAAGAACCACGGAAGAAATAAGTTGGCGCGAGGCAATATTTTTCTATTAATTCATTGCACGTATATTATTGTCCTTGTCTAGAAACAAAGGCACATTATTAAATATAGGAGTAGGACATCATTATTTTTAAGTTTCTGTTTATTATTAAGGTTTTATTTATATTTATTCGCTGGATTATCGTAGAAGCTTGACCGTTAATGTTAGTCTGGAGTTTTACTTTAATTCCAGTGTAAAATTTATAATTATTTTTTGAGAAATGGTTTTTAGTTACACTCCTAAAAGTGATAATAACTTTTTTGGCCATAGAACAGTGGTATTAGTTTCGGTTACTAATGTACTGAATCCTGAAAATTTTATTAAAAATGAGGTTGTAATAATTTTAATTTAAATAACAAATACACATAGAACATTATACTGTATATTAAACTAATGCTTATTAGTTTTTTGTTTTACAGATAAATCTCAGATTAATTCTAGTCAGTGGGAAGACAAAAGAATTCATATTCAGCCCTAACGATTCAGCCGGAGATATAGCTCAAGCAATTTTTGATAACTGGCCTGAAGGTAAGATTAATTTGCTAACTATGTATGTTTTATATATTTATGTATTTTAAAATATTTTCAAAATTAAATTTTTTTTTTAATACTATTAAAAATGTTTAATCTCCTAGGATTTTTACTTGTTTAATGTTTTTATTTATGCTTCAGAAATTTTATAATAATAATTATAGAATTTCTACATTATTCTATATATATATATATATATATATTGTAACGATTTATTATTATTTGTTAAAATTAGTATGATTGTTTATTAATATTTGCAATTTTTTTGTTTTGTGGGTAGTATTATAATTTAGACAATTATAAATTTTCCTGATAAATTAGTTTTATAGCTAAGATAAGATAGATAATTTTTATCATTTTTGATTCCTAGAGGAACTGTTTTTGCTATATAGTTAAGATGAGTAATTAGCGTAAAATATTGACATATTCATACTTTTTTTTGTGTTGTAATGACTAATGAGTTTTTGTTTTGGTTATTATTTGGTTGAACGACCGTTTCATTGTATTAGACATTGTTTAATGCAATGCATGTTAATAGAATATATTTATATCAAACTAGTGAGCTATCATAATTTTTATAAATATCAGTAATAGATGGTAATCAAACAAATGTGCGACAATTCTACTTACTATTATCTTATTACGCAGTTTTTTTTTTTTTAACTTATGACCCAAAAGTAAAATATTTTATATATATGTAAAATAGTATTTTTTTACTTGTATAAGTCATGCGAACACTACCAATATAGAAAACAGACAACACAGGGTGCTAAATATGTACTTAATGGCGCAACTAGAGCAAAAATCCAGGGGGTACTAAAATAGTGTAAGGCTCATAAAGCAATAAGAGGTGGAACACGCCCCACCCTTAATTCACTACTTTAATATATATGGCTGTATAATGATATAACTTATAATGCCTGTATTAATGATGGCGGTTTATTGATAGCTCTTATAACCGAGCTAGCGATTTCCGTTGATCGGTAGCTTAATATTAAATCATCAGTATACTCTGTAAGTGGTACGTCTGTAGTGTGGTCTTGTAGATTTTTTGGTGATATTAATGATATGACCATGGTTGTAGTTTTATTACTTTATTGAGGTTGTATTAATATGTTACTTTGGTTTTGGTCGTAAACATATTTTGTCTCTGGTCGACAAATCTTATTAAAATTGATTCCTTTTTTGCCATACCACTTACAGAATACTTGAAATAATATTTGCTACAATAGTAGTATAATGTAAACGTAATGCAAGATAAGAAAAACAGATTGATATAGAAATTATTATAAATATAGTAACTATAAGTCAAGTTTTCTTATCATAATTAATTTAAAAAAATAAAATTTATAGAGATTTTGTTTAATGGCTTAAAGTGTGGAAATTATTTGTTAATTTCTTTTCCTGTTCTTTCCTTTGAATGTTAAATCGCTCAATATTTTTTCTATTTTTGTGTTATAAGATCCATTTTCTATTAATATAAAATACAATTTATCACCCTAGTATTCATATAAGTAACCTGAGAACGATGCCCCACGTGTTGAGTTGCAGGGGGCAAGGCGATAGAAAGAAAATATGACGAGTTTGGCACGGCAAGTGGCAACATATGAATCAGCTTGTTAAGTTATCTCCTACACAGTATGTGTAATGCGTATATACTCATGGTACAAAACCGGTTGTATAATCTATGACGAGTTCGGTCCTTTATTCATGGGAACCGGGGAAGTAACTAATGTCTATTCTATAGAATATCACATCATTGTGTAAAAAAATATGTATGCACCCAACAATAAATAGGTCTGTATACGTCTTTAAACTGCCATATTAGAAACGTGTTAACCTAATTTGAAGTCTATGTATCAACGATTATGAATTACGAACAAAATTACTTTGAAGTTTATTAAAATTAATTTATATGTGTCTGGATTATGTATTAATTTATAAACTCAACAAGTCCATTGGATCCAATGGAGCCAATATTAAAAATAATACGTAGGGTAAATTTTTAATTTTAAAATTGTTGCCCACCCATTAAGAATTTATTTTGTTCCATAAAAATAAATAATTTTTGAAGGTGTCCGAAAAAAATGTAGCATCTCAATAAAAAAAATTTTTTCATCGATTTTTTGAAATGATATGTTAAATTTAAACGTAGAAAATTAACGAAACAAATTTTTTGAAATGAATTTAACATTATTCATTGAAAATGAAAATAAAAATAATTATTTTATTATTAATATAAAATATTGATTTACTCTAAAGATATGTACTAAATAAAAATAATTGTGTCAATTTAAAATGTGAGTCGAAAGAGAGAAAGCTTTGCTCAGTTGTTTATTATATTATTTCAATGTACTTTTTACATGAGCTCTGTACAATAGTATTTACATGAGTGTGACTTTCTCTGCCCCTCTTTATTTTACTTTTAAACTATGCACACTGAGTAACTGGAAAATGATTCGTCATAATTATTTTAATGTGCATTATTTTATAAATTTATATTTAAATAATATTAGAAATTAGGATAAAAAAAGGATTGGAACACATTTGAATGAAATGAATTTAATTTCAAATCAACCTACATTTATAAAAACATTTATACAAAGTTGTTAATATACATAAAAAAAATTTTTTTATTATTTTAATTCAAAATATTATATAATTTGTTACATTTATTATCACGTCAATGCTTCAAACTAGTCAATACTCGAATTGTGGGTATCATTTAGTTTAAGTGGGAATTGAACTCTTGATTATATAAGATCTCGCCACTCCTAATTCATATTGCTTGTAACAAGGATTAGCACAGACATTTTTTCTTAGCAGTGTTAATATATATATATATATATATATTAAGAAAATATGTCTATAGTAAATTTTATGACAAATAAAAGGTCATGTATGACTTAAATTATGAAATTGTTTACTTTTCGAAGTGAATTTACACTCTTTAACCATCCTTTGGTTGTGCCATTGAATGCGAGATATTTTATTAAATTAAAAAGAAAAACTATAAATTATCTTAATTTTGAAAATTGTTAAATAGTTATTGAGTTGTTTTTATTTTAGCTTCGATGCGAAGCTGAGAAGGGAAGGTATTAATTTTACTATGATGTGTTTTTTTTTTCTGTGACGCTCAATCTCACCTCACGCTGGACCGATTTTGATGAACAAATCGTATCTAATCGAAGACATTACCCTCAAAAATTGAAAAAATTTCCTTCGTTCCCCGTCAATGGCGGAAACCCCCCAAAAAATTACAAATTTAAAAATCGCTAATTTTCGACATTTTTTCAATTTTTTTTACTTAAAACTGCCATAACATTTTTAAGAATGACCAAATCAATATAATTTTTTTTTTAAAGATACCTTAGGTATTTACATATCTTTTGATATATTTTTGTGAACATTTGACCCATTACCTGCCCATAGGGAGGGTTTCAATATGGCAACTTTTTCATAAAAAATTTAATTTTTCAACTTAACTTTTGAAAATGTTCCGGAAAGACTTTCGAAAAATAACTTTGAAATTTGAACCAGCTTACATTGCCATTTTTTCAGTCTGTAGAAGGGACATACGGTATCGACTAGTCGGTAATACTTACGTCTTACGCGCTTGGGGTACAAGGTTCCAACCCGTGTATAGCAAGGAATTTTTTACATTTTTTTCTTAATTATTTTTAAGTTAGAATAAATTTTCAATTCATTGGATTTTTATCTCATTTAGATTCAATAACTTCAATAAAGATCAAGAATCCCATCACTGTAGTCGCCCCTCGTGAGAAGAAATTTCTTTATCATATTAAAATTATTTTACTATATTTTAGGTTTTAGCTTCAATGCGAACCTGAAAAGGTATGTTTTTGTGACTATCATTTATTTTCTCTGCTCTCACTTCACCTACTTTTTCAACGATTCGTCAAATGATTACAATTCGTATCTAGTTGAAGATATTACCCTCAAAAATTGAAAAAAAATTCTAATTTATTAATTAAACAGTTCTCTATACAGGCAATTAAAATCATTCATTTATAATGTATTTATTGACGAATCAAGTTCGATATGGTAGGTTTCAATTATAAAATTTAATAATTTTACAGTGTAATTTAATAATTTTTTTAATCTATTTGTGTTTGCTACTACTAGACTATAATATTCCTAATTTTTTGTTAACATATTGCTATATAAATAATTTCTAAAAAAAAATGATTGGTAGTTTCTCTTGAATTAACAATGCATTTTTACAATGATAATGAAATTTTATAATACACTCTATTAAATAGTTTTTATTAACAAATTTTTTTTTATTGATTCTTTAGTTAAAGTAAATCATTAAAATTAATTAAGTTCATATTTCCATTGTAGAATCTTTTTAAATATCAAAAGTTACTAGGAAATTATTAGTATTATTTTATTATTTATTAAGTTATCTATTACGATAAAAATGCAAAAAAAATATTTAGCTTTTCTGATAAATTTACTATAAACAGTAATTATAAAACTTCCTGACTGAATATTAATCTTAACGATACAATTTTTTGAATTCTCATAAAATTTTCTATCAGTATTATTTAAAAACAATTTTTTTTTCTTTATTATTTTTTGTTATGTAAATACTTATTTTTAATAATAAGTAATAATATTAAAACTAGATGTTATAGAAAAAAATTAATTGCACATTTGAAAACATCGCGAAAAGTTGATTTAGAAAAGTATATTTTTGTTTCTGATGAAGTTCATTGTAGTCCAGTGTATAAAACTTATAACTATGTTATTAGTAACAAACATCTTTTATTCAAAAGTATTGCATCAAGCCGTATAAATTTTTATACGCGTTAAAAGTAAAGAAATATACAACTACTTTATTATTTTTATAATATCTCCGTAAAATTACAATATTAAATTATTGAATATCAATTTCATACTAAATTTAATTACTCTATTTATTATTTATTCATATATTATAATTATAAATCAAATAATTAATCGGGATAAAATTAAGGGAAGAAGAATTATTGTTGCTTTTGAAATAATCTACCAATTTCTTAAAATTAAACACTATCTACATTTGCATCGAAGCGTTTCTTATGATAGTGATTTTAATCACTGTCAGATTAAATTTATACTTGTCCATACTGTGCCGCGACCCCACTGTGCTACCGTTTTTTTAAATAATATATCATTGTTATAATTTAATCAAAATTTTCCTGATTAAATATTGTTTTTGTTTACGTACATACATTTATACAAATATGGTTTGTACTTATTTAGGCAACTATTAAGTTAACCGTTGTGTTTTTCACACAAAAAAAGAATTTTCAGACAAAAATAGCATTCGGTAGCCATTTTCACCGTGAAAACAAAATAAAGTCCGAAATTCTTTATTTCCATAATAAAGTAGATTACATTAGCTTTAATTTAAGATATGTAAAAAAGTGTCAGACTTTCCGGAATACTTTCAAAAATTAAGTTGAAAAAGTTAATTTTTTGTGAAAAAGTTGTCATTTTAAATCCCTCCTGTGGGCAAGTAAAGGGTCAGATTTAAAAAAAAATCCCAGCACAGTGGGGTCGCGGCATAGTGGGGACGTTGCATAGTTGGGTCCAGTATAGATTTAATCTGACAGTGATTAAAATCACTATCATAAGAAACGCTTCGATGCAAATCTGTAGATAATGTTTAATTCTAAGAAATTGATGGATAATTACAAAAGCAACATCAACTTCTATTTCCTTAATTAAACCCAGATTAGTAATTCTTATAATTATATATTATACAATTTTTAAAATTAATTGTTTTTAAATTATTATTGATTTTGATTTTTATTATGATAAAAGTAATCATTTTGAACCTACTTTTTTTTGTCCTTTAAAATGAAAGTTTTAATAAATAAAAAAAAAAGAATTTATTACCATAACATTTAGCTCAACTTGCAAGTTTGAAATTTACATTATTAAATAGAAAAAAATTAAATTGTTAAGATTAATATGCAATCAGGGAATTTTATAATTACTATTTACAGTACATTTATCAGAAAAGTTAGATTTTTTTACATTTTTATCGTAATAGATCACTTAAATAAAAATCATAGTAATCATTTCTAATTAACTTTTGGCGTTTAAAAAGATTTTACAATGGTAATATTCAAAACTTAATTAATTTTAATGATTTACTTTAACTAAATGAACCAATCAAAACAAAGTTGTTAAAAAGATTTACTCAATTGAGCGTATTATAAAATATGATTATAATTGTAAAAATCCATCGTTAAATTTAGGTGAAACTAAAAATAATTTTTTCTTTAAATTTATGATTTATATAGCAACATATTACAAAAAATTTTGGAATATTATAGACTAATAGTAGCACACACAAATTGAGTTAAAAAATGAATAAATCACAAAGTAAAATTATTTACTTTTGTAGTTGAATACTTTTATCATATCAAATCTAATTCGACAATAAATACTTTAAGAATATTAAAAATTAATGATTTTAATTGTTTGTATGAAAAATCTGGTTATGCTACTTTTTATTTGAATAAAGAATATTTTTTCGATTTTTAAGAGTAATAACTTAAACTAAATACGAATTGTAATCATTTGACGTATTGTTGAAAAAAGTAGGTCGAGTGAGGGTTGGCAAAATAAATCATAGNAGTCTACTGAGGGTTGGCAAAATAAATCATAGCCACAAAAAAAACTACATAGCAAAATAATATTAACATGAATAAAAAATTTCTTCTCACTAGGGGAGACTATAGTGATAGGATCCTTTATATTTATTGAAGTTATTGAATCTAAATGAGATAAATATCAAATGATTTGAAAATTTTATTCTAACTCAAAAAAAAATGCAAAATATTAATTGTCTCAGACTTTTTCAAAAATAAACAAATCAACAAAAAATTTTTTTATACTAAAACCTTAGTTATTTTTTTGAAAATCTAACACTTAACCTGCTCATTGGGGGGGATTTAAAATAGCAATTTTTTTACAAAAATTAACTTTTTCAACTTAGTTTTTGAAAATGTTCCGGAAATACTGCGTCCTCTAAACATATATCAAATTAAAGCTTATTTTATGTGCTATAAAATGAAAAAAAAAGTGGTATGCCGCCACCCCACTGTGCTGGGTTTTTTTTATTTAAAAATGAAAAAGATAGCGATACAGAAAATAATGTTATATTGTGTATTGCAGAATTGAGTACCCCGGCTAGCACAAATTCCAAATGCGCGGTTCTGTGGTTATTATAAATAAATACAATAAATAATTTGATTAAGTACCAAGTAGTAATTTAAATTATTTGTATAATATTTTAAAATATTATTGTTTGGTATTTTAAACGTTATCTTTTAGATAAATATACTAAAATTTTCCTACTTCTAAAATACACGTTGTTTTTGCTCAGAGTCCTTATACTGTGATTATCCTAATCACTTTTTTATTAAATTTTAAATTATTATATTAAATATTTAAATTGCATTTAAAATATATGTACAGATTGTTTTATATATATATACAGGGTGGCCCACCACTCACTGACAACTTAAATAACTTTTGATCCAGTTAATATTTTTAGTTGATTTTTTTTTTAAATAATATTTATACGTTAGGTCTATAGCTATATCTCAATAATTAATTTTTTTACATTTTATTAAAAATATTAATTATTTTTAAATTTTAAATAAAATGTAAAAAAAAAATCTAAGATAGCTATTTTGTAGAGTAGAATTTAAGAAAAATTTTAGTAAAAAAATATCTTATTAATATTCAGTAGTAAATATTCTGTAGCGTTTTGAAGTTTGTGAAAATTTCAATTTTCATGTACTATTTTACGGTATTAAACATTGAAATACGTATTGAGAAAAGGACAGAAGAAAACGCTATCTTTTCAATATACTTTTGAATGAGAGTGATAAGTAATAATTGCCTTATCTAATTTCTTATCATGGTATTAATGCCATGTTTGTAATGTATACACATTATCATCATATGTATACACAGTAATCATGAAAAGATAAATATTATTTAAAAAAAAAATCAACTAAAAATATTAACTGGATCAAAAGTTATTTAAGTTGTCAGTGAGTGGTGGGCCACCCTGTATATCATAATTATTACAATGAAATTTTATTTATTTATTTAGATCACGGACGAAAGCCCGAAATAACAGTATTTAATTGACAGCCGAATTAGCAAACTTAAATATATAATATTAAATAAATATATTTATATTAAAACAAAAGATTAACAGAATATAAGTTGAACAATAGTATAATAATAAGAGTAAACTATTAAATTGAAGGAAAATTTGTTTTGTTTTACAAAGTTATTAAATAAGAAGGTATTTCATTCATTTAATGTAGAAGGGTGAAATGTGGTATATAATTAGCTGAGGTTAGATGATTAAAAAAGGGGGCAGTATGGGGGGCAAAATGGATTGTGCAAATTAACATCTGAAAGTTTAATTTTGAAAGCGGTATAGAGGAATCAATCATATCAGTAGGTGCGCACAATGGACATATAGTTCTTAGTGCATGAACAGTTCTTGCTCACCTCTAACACAACTAAAACTAAACTAAAAACTAATATCAGGAGTAATTTTTAAAAAGCGAATATTTGCTTCACGACTTCTGTCAGATAAAGAGGAAAGTTGCAAGAAAACTCGAATACGAGTCAAGTCATAAGGTGGATGACTGTGGGATTTTAAGTATAAAAGTAAAATGTAAATTTTTTTAAATATATATATTTGTGTGAGAATCCCACAATACAAAACCATATACAAGAAAAGAAAAGTGCAAACTAAAGAGCAGTAAAGCTTTTTAACATTTTTGAGAGATGAAACTAATAAACGATTATTTGAATAAATCCTAAAGTTTTGAGAGCCTTGCAACATATTTCTTTAGTATGAAGATGAATATTTAAAATAAAAGTGAGACAGAAATTAAGGTAGAAGATAAAGATTTATAATATCTTAAGAAAATAATTTATTTCATTTACGTTTTTTAACTATCATATATTTAATTTTTCAATTTGTATGTTTTTAGATTGGGCAGATGAAGCTGTTGAAAAAGCTGAGATCCTGCGACTGATATACCAAGGCCGTTTTTTACATAGTAATGTAACATTAGGTGCTTTGGGTTTGGCTCCAGCTCGAACAACTGTTATGCATCTTGTACCTAGAGAAACATTACCAGAACCTAATTCTCAAGGTGAGAAACATGACAGAACTTTATCTGGACATTGGTTATGGTCAAATCCTACAGATGCTTCTTCTTCATTATTAAATCCTTTAAACGAATCTGAAAATGATATTATATCTACTTCAACTTTATCTGAACTTGACTAATTATATTTATATGAAATAATTAAAATAAAATAGATTATGTATAATTTATTTGAAATTTATTTAGTTTCTGTATTAAATTGCATTTTATTGATGTTTAACATTAAAGATGGCTGAAGTAACATCATTTAGGAATAATTTAAAGATCAATTTTTAAGATTGATTTTTATTATGTGTTTTAAATGAATGAAAATACATTTCATTGAAAAGATTGTTTCGTTAAAATGAAGTAATAATTTTATTTTAATATTTTTTTCTTGATCATTCTATTTTTATATTTTTTATATATTTTAGTTTCTGAAGTGTTGGAAAAATATTATTTAGAAAAAAGTTTTACTTTAATTTTATCAAATTATATTCTTAAATAAAATAATTCTGTTTTGTTTTTATTATATGAAAATTGAACTCTCAATCATTTCTGCTAAAGAATTTAAGTGTATTAGTTTAATAATTATAATAATTGTGGTTTAGATAAAGACTTAAACTAATGACTTAAACATATATTTTTTTTTAGATCAAAGGCAGAAAAGTAAAGCAGCAAGTAGCAGTTGTTGTTCGGCAGCATGTACTATACTATGAACTGTGTTCTCTTCTCTAAATTATAAATGTATTGAAATAATTTAAATATGATTCAGTTTTACCTAATAAAAATTCGACTCAAAAACTAATCTGTAGCAAGTGGAATCGAATTATTCCCTTTATTTTAACCCATTTATGTTTCGTGATCATTAATGGGTTGTATTAGGTATAAATAAATATATTTTTTTGACTATTGATATTATCATTGTATATTTTCAGAAATCCCCTCCATTTTTTTAATTACTTTTTTTAATACTAATATGTCTAAGGACAAAAGTGTAATTTTAAATATTTAGGTATTATAAGACATCACAGTTTAATTTGGCGTTAACTTCTCATTGTTTTGTACTAAAAAGATAGTATTTATTTTATCAAAAGAATAAGCAAAAACTGTGTTCATTTACAAATACAAAAATATTTATTAAGAAAATCGCAATATGCATATAAAATTTATCTCATATCTGTTAATACTACTAATATTTTGGTATAATTATTCAAACTTTATATTTTTAAATTTTGGTGGTGTATATTTACTACTGAATTTTGATTTTCTTTTTTTTTACTACTAATATTATTTTTTAATGTAGATACATTTGGTCTTCCTTAAATTTAAAAATGTCATAATATGTGAATGTGTAAATGACAAAAAAAAAAATTGATTATCATATACCTAGAATATATTCATACTTTTAATAATAAAAATGAATTAAAAGCACGGTACATGGTTACTGTTATTCATAATATTTGTTAAACACTATAATATTATAAATAATATGTTTATATTTTCAATATTTATGTTAATGAACTAAATTAAGCTACATTTACTCTTCAAAATGAATTTGTGTAGCCTGGTATATGTTCAAATAGTGAAAGTAAATATAAATGACGTTAAAATCTATATAAAAAAATTGTGTTGATAAGTTTAAAAAAAAAACTGTAATATTTTATCCATATATACCGATGATTCATTTACATATGTTTGAATATATGTAAAATATACACTGTATAAAGACATTTTCAGTGTATACAAGTTGATATACTTCAGTTTGTATTTTTCTGTGATTTTTTTTGTTTTTATATAATTTTTTTTTCTTAGAATAATGTTAATACCTTAAAATGTAAAATATTATATTTGTGTCAATGTATAATCTCGCTTATTTGATTTTTCAAGTTTTATTTTTAATAATCTCTATACTATCATTGTTTATTGTGCAAATATGTTTTTAGATTTAGGTGTACATTGCTGTTGTCGTTGTAATTAATTTGTGTAAAGTAAAATAAGACAAAAATGCATATTAATATTATGTATGTATAATTACTTTAAATATTGCAGTATATTATTATTAATTAAAAATTTATTTGAATATTAATTTTTTATCTATATCAATAAAAAAAACGAAAAATATATATTAATACAAAAAAATAAAGCATAGTGCAGAAAATGGTTGTGTGTCAAACCTTAGCTTATAAGCCAAGACCTATTTTATATTTAACTATGAAATTTTTTTAAGATTCTGTTGCCATGAAAAATGAAATACTTATACATCTCTTCTATACTTTTATACTATGTATGCATCAAATGACTAAAATGCTTTAAGGCATGTAAATACATTAGTTTCCTCTATGAAAGAAGTATTAATGTCGTATTCGTGCATACTGTAAAATAGGGTTTTTATGATTAAAGGTATTTCTTTCAATTTCTTTAATACTTAAAAATAATTAAATTATATCTATTTCATTCATAATGTTTAAACGTCTGATGAGTGTCTTGTCCATTTAAACGTTGAAACATGGTTAAAGCTTAGTATCCTCTTATTGTTGATTCATATAAACTAATAACATCATTAGTGATGCTTGAATGTAGGACAAATGATAATATATGCAGTATAATATAGATTCTTTATTACACTGTATATATTTAAGTATTTTATATATTATTTATGTATTTAAGAGGATAATTTAAGTGTGGTCTAGGATATAAGATAGTAATATAGTGATAGTGAATACTCCAAAAATGATAATTCGATTAAGAGATATATAAACTTTTTAGTTAAACTTGTACTAGGCTTAAATTTTATGCGGTTTGTATGTGTTCTTTTCATTATAATTTTTATTATTTAATAAAATATGATCAATTAATGAATGAAAGGTTAAAGAGGTTCCAGTGAGAACTGATGCCTACACGATGCGTCATATAAGAGCATCTGGGTCATGTCAGTGGGTGATTTTATGAACACATATTGTACAATAAGCCTAGTAAAATATTTACTAAGATATTTATAACACGAGTAAAATATTTAAGTTATATAGCGTTTGTTATGGATTAGAAATCATTTCTAGTAAAATTAGTGTTTTTTTATGTCGCTCTTCTAAATTTTAAGTACACATGTACTTGTACCCGTGATTAAAATAATTAAATATACTGATGCATTATCATTGTTTGCTTAGACAGTGTCTCAAAATCCATATTATATTATAACCATTATCTATTATCATTTGTAAGAGACAATTTAGGTAGGGAACGTTAACCCCGGTTGATTTTGTTATTACTATAAAATATTTCAATAAGCAATAGAATAATTGTATTGTTTATTTTAATTATTAAAATATAGTATAAAATTACGATCTACAACAAATTTGTACCACATTTGCTTAGCTTTGTTTTGAGAAAACAGACAACGCCTGCGTATTAATGTAATATTTAGTTTATGTTTAATATATATGTAAAGTAAATACGAACAGTTTTTGCATATTGTATTCAAAAAAATGGTCTTCAACGAAATTTAAAAAAGTAAAAATATTGATGATATAAATAATTTTTAATGGAAGGTTTGTCTAATTTTGAAATGTTTAACTTATGTGACATGGTTTATGAAACTGTTATATGTAAGTCATATGGTCACATGTGTGTTTATTAATAGTGTTATTGTTTCTGTTACATCATTGCTCATTAAATATTCAGCTCGAGCTCCAACCTCTCCTTTAAAAATTAGATAACTGATAGTGGGATGTATGCGTTTTGTATACCTATTTCTACTTTTCGTCAGTCGTCTTCTAAACCTACTCATTCAACAAAAACCAACTGTGATGCGCTATGTTTCCGAGTGTTTAAACGTCATTTTATTACAAATAAAAATGTCTGAGTTGACTGACTCTATTGTGTTTCGAATTAAGTTATTGGAAGTAGTAAGTATTTTATAAATGATTTTAAAAAGAAATTGATTTATTAAAATAAAAATTAATTATAAGTCATTTAAAACAGTACTAATATTTTGAAATCATTTTAATGTAATAGATGGTAATAATATTTATTATAATGTATCCATAATTTTATTAAGAGCATTAATGCTCAAATATAATTGATTTATATTAATAAAACATTAGCTGAAATTAAGAGTCCAGAAAGCTAAAACCCTTTAAATTTGATAATGCTATTTATAATATGATAATTTAAAAATGTGTTTAATCACAATAAAAAAAATAAATAGACTCAGAATTTTTCAATTAAGGAGTTAATAAAAAAAAAAAATTAGTGACTTTTTCTCAGGTGATATTTTACCTAAATATTGGTTTAGTTCAGTCCTTTTAGCTAATTTGAATACGCTACTGAGTAGCAACCCTTACCACGTGTACCGAAGTTAATATAAATTTTGTATTGTGACCAGATGAATGCTTAAACTGAAGTATTCGAACGTGTAAATAATTGCTTATAAGTTTTGGAAAATACATAAACATAATTCACTAATGTCTAACATTTTCATGATTTTTTCGTTTTCTATATATTTTTTTATTTATGCAATGCAGAGTTATAATATATACAGGAAATTTTTTCACGGTATTTTTTATGTAGTATCTATAACATTTTGTATTTTAAAACAAATCGATAAGGTTAACTTTTTTATCTAGATTTTTTTTTAGTTTTGTAAAATATTAATTTACTTGTAATATAATTATTAGTATATTTATTTTCATTAAGAAGAAGACGAACGTTCATAACTAATATAAACTTAAAATGTTATTAAATATTATTCTAATAAATCTTATCATGTAAAGTTTCATAATTTTGTAAGTAATAATTGAATAACGTTTGTCAAATTTATAGTCGTTTCAAGGTAATTTGTAATGCTGACAATAAAATTTGTAAAAGTTTCGTGAAAATAAAAGAGGGGCACTTATCTTTGTCACTTATAAGTATCTTAAGTTACTTAAATATATTAATAGCGCTCAGATTACTTATCATGTTAACTTAATATGAAATTCCTTTTAAAAACATAATAGTATTGTATATCTTAAAAAATATTACAAGTAAAAATTGCCTAATAATTTAATGATATAATCAAATTATTTAAAAAAATCTATAATCATATTTGATGTTTGTATAAAAATTAACATCAGTTATCTAGGTTTTAAAAAGTATAATTAATTTTCATTTAACTAATAATTTTCTATTTGTTCTGATGCTGTTTTTTCAATAAGATGAACCATAGGTCAAATATCAAGAAAATATACATACACTATTATTCGAGCTTATATATGATATAATAAACATTCTGTTATTTTTTAATTTCAGGTATTGTCTATACTAAGTTTAGTACCATTTTTCGGCCAGCATAACTATCCTGCCAACGATATAATATTAGGTGATTTTGTGTATTTGACCCTTTATGGATTTTTGGGCATAGGCATTGTGGTACTTGCTAGTTTCATTAGATCAGAATCCATATCAGAAAAGTTGGTAAGAGTAATAATAACTAAATTTTATAGTTACAATTTTTGAAAATTAGAACAAGCCATGCATTAATCATTAATCATATGTTTAAATATTTTTAGATATTTTATACAACGGCTACAGCCTCGATTATGCATTTGATGTCATCAATAATTGTAATTGTAGCGTTATTAGATGTTTGGAACGGTGGAAGATTTATTGGTGTTATATTTATTATATTCAACACATTAACTTATGGATGGGACGCATATCAATGTCTCAAATCATAAAATGCTGAACGATTAAATTATAAAAAGTTTTTTTAAATCTAACTGATACTTTATTACTTAAAAGTCTTTAATTTTAAGCTTATAAAAAAATACTATTAGTATTATTTCATATTAGCCTAAATAGATATTAATGTAGTTATAAAATATAAATGTGTTATTTATAATTAATGAAGCTCAATACCGTATGTTTGTATTATTGATAATCATAGGTGCAAGTAGAAAAAATTTTTGCGAAAGTTAAATATAAATTTATCCATCCCTGAAATATATAAAAAAGAATTTTTACTAACTTTTGAGAGGACTTAATCTTTGTTAAGTTTCCAAGTCCTCTCTGTTTACTTTTATTCTGATAACAATATTTTAAAAAATGTACGGAAAGCAAGGAATAAAGAGTGATTAATTTTTACTCACTAAAAACACTCATTCCTTAAAAATAATAATTTATTAATGTTGTTTTATAGTTATTTATAATTTATAAAAGTAAAAATAAAAATCCTGCCTTTAAAATATCTAATTTATTGTCAAATAGACTTACTGTCTTATCGTAATTTATTACTGTCTGAATAATTCCTTAACGTCCTGTTTACAGAGTTTATATACTTAGTAAATTAATGAATTCATAAAAGTTCGACAAGTTTTGCGTTAACAACTTTCAAAAGGAATGAATTTGAGCTATTAATAATTTACAAATTTTATTATATGATTTGATATATTTTACATTAGTTGAACTCTTAAAAAAATATGTTGGAATTTTCAAATACATGTACTGGAAATTTTGAACAAATACAATGTAATACAAAATTTAGATAAATAATAAAAATATTATTTTTGTATGGATTTTTGATACTTTCTGTTAAAATTGCATTACTTGTATGTAAAAGTATCCTACTAACATATGGGAACTTACGGAACATCTTTTATATTGTATTACTACTAATTGACGTATATGACCGGCTATGTTAATTAATAATAACAAAATTTTTAGGTGGGGAGGATAATTAATTTTAAATTAGTCTTACTGAATTTTTAGTATAAATTTTATTATATCGTATTATAATTCGGAAAACAACTGAAGAGAAATAGTGTCATCATATATATATTATTTAAAAAGTTTCAGGTTAATAGGTCCAATTTAATATGTTCAAAAACTAAATTTCAAAATTTATTTCGTCCAATAAATATAAGTTCAATGACCATTTAAGTCCAAAAAATATTTCATATATTAGATTATAAATCCGTTATTGAAAATTATTTTTATTACTCGGTTATAAATAATATACTATGTATTACATATACATTTATATGTTTTTTCTATTTATTTAAGTTTCCAAGATTAACTAAATCTATATAAAATAAAGTTACATTGATTTATGGCGGGTATTGTTACCATTATCATTCATTTAACAAGGAAAACGCCAAACATTATTGGAGATGTGAAAAACACCAATTATGCAATGCGTGTTGTATAATGAATACGGTTTTGCAGAATCTACAGATAATCAAAAAAAATTTAACTACTCATTTACAATTTCCAAATGGCGTTGAAATTTACGCTTCTAATAATATCGATGTAACATAACGCTTTTTTCATTTTGATCCATCATTATGGCGACAAATTGTACATCGATGATTAAGAGAGCAAATTATTAACAATTCATCATGCTAATATTTGAAAGTTTTTTACTTTAATATTTATTTATTCGACATTAAAGTCATTTTTTAATTGATGGATCAAAAAATAATCGAATTTATTATTTTGGATCTAATATCTGTTAACTGACTATAATAATAAATAATTAGATGTTACTTATTAAATTTAAAAGTATTCCTGCAATGAATTTTGGGTTCATTATAAAAATATTGATGGGCAAAAGAACATATTTATTACTTACAACCTCAATATGAATATTGATAGTATTCAGTTTTATATCTTAGTCGTAGCGACATTAATTTTATATTTTAATTACTTTTTTAAGACGTTTTGAAATATTTGTCGGATCAATATTATTTAAAATGGAATCATAATTATTTTTTTTCATGCTGATAAAGTTGACTGATCTATAACTTAAACCTTTTGTTATCATATAAATATAGTATGATGGTACTTGTACCAGAGTAAAAAGCGTAGGAGGAGTAACAGAAGATTTTCAGGTAAGAGTAGGAGTGCACCAAGGTTCTGCTTTAAGCTATTACTTATTCTCTATAGTAATGGATGAAATTACTAGAAAAATACAAGGAGAGGTGCCGTGGTGCATGTTGTTTGCTGACGAAATAGTGTTAATAGGAGAAAATTAATCAAAGGCTAGAGGTGTGGATATCAGCTCTTGAAGAAAAGGGTTTAAGAATAAGTAGAAGTAAGACAGTATATAGAGTACGAGTTTGACAAAGGAGAACACGATGTAGGTGAAATGAGGAGATCAGTGTCAATAGGCGAGGACGTGATTGGAGAGGTGGAAAGTTTTAAGTATGTAGGATCAGTTGTGCAAAAGAGCGGTGGTATTGACGAGGATGTAAGACACAGAATTAAGTGCGGGTGGTTGAAGTGGAGAGAAGCGTCTGGCGTCTTATGCGATAAAAGAATTCCAATGAGGCTGAAAGGTAAATTCTACAAACTGTAGTGAGACCAGCCATGATGTATGGTTCAGAGTGTTGGGCGGTTGATAAGAAAGTAGAGCAGAGAATGAGTGTAGTAGAGTTGAGAATGCTCAGATGGATAAGTGGAGTGACTAGAGAAGATAGAATAAAGAACGAGCATATAAGAGGGAGTATAGGTGTAGCATCAATCGTGTATAAAATGAGAGAAAATAGATTTAGATGGTTTGGTCATGTTATATGAGGAGAGAAGAATCGGAAGCTATAAGAACAGTTATAGAAATTAATTTTGAAGGAAGAAGAGGTAGAGGAAGACCAAAAAAGAGATGGACGGATGCTATTGAATGCAATATGAGGACAGCTGATGTGATCGTAGATGATGTAGGAGATCGTGTCAAGTGGAAGTTTAGGATAAGGGTGGCCGACCCTAAGTCGGATTAAGGCGAGGAAGAAGAAGATATATATATATATATATGTTGATCCAAAAATATTCAAATTTTAATCTATTATGCATATACCACAGACTATTAAAAAATCAATGCCGAAAGACATTTTGAAATAATTCATTATAATTTGAATAAAAAAAATAATTATTTTATTCAAATTATTATGGATTGTTGAAGAAAGTTTGTAAATAATATGTCTAGTGATAATCATTTATCAGAATAAATGTTATTTTTAGATATTTTATTAAAATGAAAGTTAACTACATCGAATAAATTATTTTATAAGATGCAATAAACAATAAAATGTTTCAAATTGTAAAATAAACTTATAGTAAAACTTAAATGATTAAAAATAAAAAGTACAATTTTATATTTAGCAGCATTGAAAGATCATTTTTATTTTTTATATTTAGTATTTGAATAAATTCGATACCAACAATCTATTTAAATGTAATGTTTCGCAAGTTTAATTTGTATTTATTTTATTTAAGTACACCGCGTGATAATGATAGAAGCAAGTATTGGAATTCCACTTTATACCTAAATATGATTGAGATGCAAACTAAAACGCCACTACAAACAATAAGCAATTATTTTCAAGTTTAAATAATAATGTTAGAATATTAAAAATATAGTTGGTTTTGAATCACAATTATTAGAAAAATTTTCTTCTTTTCGTCTATTTAAGCTTAAATTTTCTAAAGAAATATAATTTTTGACACATAATTTTCAACAAGTCTACAATTGTTTTATAGGTACTCGTATCTTAATAATTTTATAATTGGAAAAAAAAATTAAATATTTTGTTTCCATTAATTATTGTCAACTTAAAGTAAAATGTAACAATCGTTTCAAATTCTCCAATAATCTTTCTGAAATAAAAATCAAATTAGCTAACCACATAAATTATTCGTGTCGAAAGAAAATGGGTAAACTAACCTTTGGTTTAAAGTTTTTTGTACCAAAACAAATAGTGCTCTCCATTCTGAACAATTAAATCATCAACGCCTGTTGGTGCCACTAATTGATTACTTGGTGGATTTTTTGGGTCCGGACTTGATTTTAGTTTATACAACAACCAAAAATGATAGCTCGTAGGTTCTTCTTTAAGTCCTGACAGTGTATGTACATAGTGACCATTTGGCCATTCTGTAGCAGAAAACCTAAGGAGGATATCACACAAAATTAAATATAATAAATGTTTTACGACATATTAATAAGTAAGTGTGGAGGTACATCCTTATTAAAACATTAACATGGAGTAAACTGGAGTAAAAGTCCTACGGTGTAAGAGTCCACTATTGAATTAATGAATTAAATTTTATAGTTAGGAACCAATGGTTGATGAATTTTTTTTTACATGTTTTTTAGCCATTACAATACCATAGAGATAAAATTGAATACATTATATAGATTATAAAAATTTTTTATAATTTTATTTTATAATTCATTTGTTCAGAATGTTATTTTAAGTTTATAAAATAATTTTAGAAGACTTAAATTTTTTATTGATATAGAATATTTTTATTAATCGATATTGAGTAATGATATCATTTTATTTTCTCACACAATTTTCGTCATGCAATTTAATGGAAACATGTTATTTTAGGGTAAAAGAATGCATTCTATAATTATTTTGAAATAAATGAGGTTTACACATTATATTATTAAATTTGAATAATTATTACTCTAAATTTTTTTATAACTGTCTTATTTATAGAAAATATTATTTTTTGAGAAAAAAAAATGTATTTTTAAGTAGCTAACTCTTTTTCTTTCTCATTATAATTAAATACTATGGTATTGAATTTAAGAATTACTAAAATCAAATACTTACCAATACCAGGTTAAACAGTTAATTATTTATTCATTAAATTTACTCAATTTTAAATGGACACCTATATCATCAATTGGGGTAAGAGTACATTTTCATTGTTCATTTTGTTTCAATTCATTACTCATTAAATAATGTTCTAATCTTAATACAAATGCTTAATTTGTAATTTTTAATTTTTGTGTAGCACAATTGTTTATAGCTACCATATAATACAAGTTATATGCGATAGAAAAAAAAATGTGCACTTTTACCCAAGGTTACTGTAAACATTTTAATTTAGATAAAAACTGTCTAAAGAGTAGTTATGTATATATATATACAATGTATATGTCATATACATTGTATATATTTTTATTAAGCTTATTTAAAAACAGAAGGCACGATGAGTTTTAATGTTTCGTTTTTAATAAATGAGGGAAAATGATTAAATATATTTGAATAATACTTTTGTATATTTTTTATTATGAAAAAATCCAAAATTTAGAGTTAAACTCTTATTCTAATGTTATTAATAATCATAACATAATATTAATGTAAAATCAGAAAAATGAAGCTTTAACTGTTAATGCTAACTGTTAATTCAACCGAAATTCTTGACATTTTCAAAAAAAACGGATGTTTTATAATCAACGAAGTAATATAATTTCAGTCGATGTTCCCGCGAAACTTTTTTAAGTACTATTATTTAACTCACGTAAAAGCATTGTCTAGGTCTGATGCTCGCTGCATGATTTCATAAAATGTCACATTATGATTGGCCGTAATGTTTATGGACCGTTTTTCTGTAATATTGCTGCCGATCCACAATGAATAACTTACAGTCACGTTTGTACCCATTTCTATGGTTTGTAGTGCTTTATACTCGTCGATCATAGTTTCTTCGCTATAGTTGACTGGTACTGTGTGATTGCTATCTAAAGATGACGGATGTGGAATGATAACTGCTGTGCCAACGTTGTCTTTATCTGTAAATATATTAACCACCATGATTTTCAATCAAGAAGTGTATCTGAGAAAATTAATATCTTCTCTCCGTTCTACGATTTTTTAATTAAGATACACGGACTGAGCTCGATTCAAACTCACCAGCTCCTGGCCGAACGTCACAATGATCAGCAATTCCCTCGGTGATACCTGATACTCGAGCTAATGCTACAATCACTTCAGCTGTGGTGGTCACGTCGAAAAAGGCTCCGTCAGGCCCTTGATGGTTTAATAGCCAATCAACAGCGTTTGTCCTATTCCATAAAGCTTTACCTTCGTGCAAAGCCTAAACAATTATTTAAAGTTTAAATGAATATAATAATATTACGAAATAAATAATGTTACCCTTATTGCAAGAGCAGTAGTGTGAAGACTGCCAAACCCTCCGTCTGTTTCCTGGAGAGTCATCAAGGTGGCCAAAGGCTTCTTTAATAAAGGTTTTACATTTCGATTTCGATGGTCGTGTTCCACACATTGCAGAGCTAAAATCGCCACGCTCAACGAATCTATAGAGTATATACAACGATGTTTATGCAGTTACCTACACCCGTCATGGGGCTAATATTTTATTTAATTAAAAACTGACCAACTGTGTGTTTGGTATTCGCGATTTCCATTAGCCTCCTAATGTGTCTTTTACGGACGTGCGTTCCCGATTCGCATGCAACAAGAGAACTATACGAAAAATCTAAATCCGAAATAGTTTCATGCTGAAGTAAAGAACCTGTAAAAAAATATATATGTACAGGGTGATCGATTAAGATAAGTGATTCATTCATTTAATTTTCATAATGCCGAAGGCAACAATAATCTGTTGAAATGAATCATAAATTATCAGTTGAACAACAAATTATCAATAAAAAACTGATCAAAAATCTTTAACAAGTAAGAGCGGTTCGTTAAATAAAAATAAATTTATTTAATAAGAACAACATTTTTTTCTATTACATCATTAAATTAAAATTAAGAATTCCCATTAAATAACATTAAACGTTTAAGTATTTAAACCTTAAAGGGATGAAAAATAAAAATGATTTAACTAGATGTTATTATAGAGTTTTTTGAATCAAATAATTTTTTATTCCACGAACAATTTTAAATTTACAGTAGTTTCCAAAAAAATTAGTGTTTTAACCTTAATCGATCACTCTGTATATCTGTTACACGTTGAAATTATCTTTAATCTAATACAAATCATTATTTAAAATTTAAAAAAAAACTAAATATTTAGGCTTAAATTTAATTTGAAAAAGTTAATAATTGTGTATCAAAAATACCAATTAAATCATGTCCGTGGAACTGTCTTGGGTCGTGACAAGCGCTAGCCAATGCCAATGAGTACGTCGCAATATTGGCCACAGTCAAAGCTTCGTCTTCATCGTCTTGTTGCTGAAGAGTAACTGAATCAGGGTCGTGGTGTTGCCAAAGTCTAGCCAAAAGTTCGATTTCTAACTGTTTGGCGCTCAGTTCTCGTTCTAGACGTCCACCAGTCTTGGTTACCTCCATTGCTACAATGGCCCGAGCCGTGTCCGTTCCGCTTCCCCATCCCCAGTTTTTGTCTCGTTGCAAAGTTAGCCAGTCAATAGCTCTTTGTAGTTCTAAAACATGCAATAATTTTTAGTAAGACAAAAAATAATACTATTTTTATCGTTATTGTTTTAAGTCTTGAATGATTTTTTTAACGGCGAATATTTCTTAATGATTAATTAAACTGAGTACTGTTCTTCTTCAGTCAATGCAACTTTCGATTCGTTGTAAAAATAAACTATACTACGTATTAACAAAATACCATCATTGACTACTTTAAGTTAGTTTTTAATGACTTCTGTCAAGTATAAATATAAAAATAACGAACTACCAATTATAATGAACTTTAATATTAAGTTAACAAACAACCTAATCGTTACCTTTAAAGGTCACTTATTATGTTGACATTTTATGTCCAGCAGAATAAATAACCTTACGACTACAGAACCCATTAAAAAAAAATCGGACATATTTAATTTCACTTTTTAAATAACTAAAAAAAACTGGACGTTGTTGGCATAATCTAACTTGCTTAAATAGTGGGTATGTTTTTCCATTGAAAATATTTAGATTGTGTTGTCAATGTATATAATTTTTGCATAGCTTTTCCCAGTTTTTTGAAAAATATAAAAAAGATTTATTTTCTGCGAGATTGGCTCTAACACCTCAGTTACAAGGATGATACTTTATAAAATTATGAGATAATTAGAATAATAATTTATAAATCACGATGTCTACAATTATTTTTATAGCAATATCACGATAATCAATTATTTTCAAGTAAATGTATTTTTGAATCGATAGACAAATTTTTCATTAATTCAATTTTATTTTAATAACACGAATTAGAAGTGACTAAAATAAGATAATTTACTCTCATATAAACAAATACTTCACCATTATTACCTGCATTTGCATAATTATAGATGAGTTAGAATCATAGGCACAATAAAGTGAATATTCTGGGGGTGCTGAAACTTTGCTTTGTTCACAAATATGTGGAGGTGGATCCCACACCCCCTAGTAACATTTCTTAGATAAATATTTATTATGAAAATATAACTGCAAAGACATTCAAATTGTATAAAAAAATTTAATGAAAAATATTGTCATTATTTGTGTTGTAAACTACTGGTAAAAAAAAACCTTCATTAACAGAGAAAAAGTTATGTAAAAAACGTTCGAATAATATTGGTGATTTAGAATTGGGGTTGCCGATTTAGAGCTTTAAACTACCCTCACAAGTGGCAATCATGGGTGGAGTATGGTGTTTTAATTCTTCCTATGGTACTGAAATTATATGATGAAATTTTATTTTCTACATTTCCAGAATACATATTCTTTGAACATATCTTTCAGAAAATAAACTAAAATATGCCACTAATCATCTGAAATATATTATAATAACTCGGGAGAAAAAAAACTTGAAGAGACTTTTAAAATTCATCGTTTGACGGATAGAATCTCAAACCTTTGTATTTGCACCGGTTTTCCGGTTAAAGTTTTACATTAAAGTACAAGTGTACACTGACTAGTGATGTACAAAAGCTTTTTATATTCTTCAGCCGCATAAATTTAAATTTTAAATGTCAACTATGTAATAAGAATCTTTAATGAATCCCAGTTTTACGGTATCCCGATAATTCACTAAACGTTTTCTTTAATATTATATGGACGTGACCTTTTTTTAACACTATCGTATACACAAAGAGAATTCAGAAGGTATATTAAAAACAAATGTCCTTTGATCAAACTTTTATGGTTTACTTTTCGTTAGTCGAAGGTGAATTACAAATAAAATTTCCGTCAATTTAATCAAATGACAATACATTTTTGGGAGCACTGTCGTCGATAGAATAAATGCTTGACAAAGTTTCACAATGAAATCTCAAAGATATTATAGTTTTTTTGGACGTCAATTAAAATTGTTTTATTAGTAAATAAGAAGTAGTTATCACTAGTGTTTTCCTCGTTAAATTATTTTAAATTTTCGTTATATTAGAAACAGCTATTATTTGCATACATTTAAAAATTGGAGCTCATGATTATTTATCACTTAGAATTTAAAACGCCAGCACTTTAAATTATTAAATCTAAAAGTTTGTTTTAAAATTGTACTTTTAAGATTAAAGATAAAAAATTCAATATTATTTTTAAAATATACTGTGATTTATTCAAGAATCAAAACTTAGACTAAACAAACTTTACGTTTTAACTATTATTACACTTGTCTGAGAGAATTTGTAAATATTATGATGTGTTTAAAGAAAAATATCTAATAAGAGAATTTTCTTTATTAAAATCTTATAGACTGAGACGTATTTAAATTTGACAATTGATTATGGTAACAATATAAAAAAAAACACAAAAGTTAATAAAAGGAATTAAGAAAATGTTATCAACAAAAATAAATTACTTAAGATAACGAATGCTAAAAAAAGTTAATTAAAAATATATATCGTACTTCAAACGATTTTAAACGTTTTATTTACGTGAGTATGAATATAAATAGAAAATTATAGAAAAAAATAAGTTTAATTGCCGTCTATAATTCTCCTTGTGGTAAAATACCTACAAAGAGAATGTATAAATATCTATATTAGTAAGTTTTATCATTTATTAATATCATTATTTGCAGTGATAAAAAAAAGCTATTTGTTCTTGAAACGTTAATTTTAACACATACTGTAAAACTTGATTAGAAGACTATTTCTGATTTACATCGACAAACATTTTTTTGCTTTTCGTTTATTTTTATTTTTTCATATAAACAACTAAATATATTTTTCTTAAGAATAACTTTTTTACAAGAAATAGCTTATTTTTTGTTTAAGCCTAATAAGATGGATAAAAGGCAAACTTTAAGCCATTTAGGAACTAAAATAAATACATCAATTAAATGTGACGTCACAGGAAGTATATTAAGGGAATTTTTTTTCGGTCAGAGGGTCATCATTTGTTTTGTGTTTAATCATAAAATTATGATGAAATCATCATTTTCTGAAAACGAATATCCGCTGATTTTTTCTAATCTTTTTTGTGGTGTTGGTATATAAGAACATTGGGGGGGGGCTTCAGGGAATTTAGTACCCATAAGAATTTTTCAGCACAGTATATAAAATTTAGGTACTGTTTGAGAGTTAGACATTGTTTAAAACATTTTTAAAATTAAAAAAAAAAACTTTTAGATTAATCAAATGTTGTTATAGGGAAGTAACCGCGATAAGATAACAGAATTTGCGATATGTATAGTCAATTAGTTAGGTGGGCGGCCCCTATCTAGCTCAATTGGTAGCACTTCTGTTGTGCTGGACTATGCTGGTTTTCCTGTTTTCTGTAGCACAAACAATGACTTTTAAAAAGGACGTTAAACACGATTAAATTAAAACGTAATCAACATGTCATAGAATTGTGGCCGGTCACAATTACTTGTTCTTGACGTTGCCACCAAAAATATCTTATAGATGGCCTGAAAATCACGCGAACTAGTCAATGGAGTATTAGATTCTAATCATTGACATCTGATAAGAAACTATTTATAGGGTAAGATTACGAATTCAGTATTTCTCAAAATAAAACGCATGTAGCAACACATCCTCATTAACATATAAGCCTCTTACGGTTACGCACTAATGCTAACACACATATGTATACGTCAATTTTAGGTGGTTAGAAATTCATAATTAGTCTGTTTTGATGATTCAAATATCAAAATTTTTGTATTCTAAGGAAAATTGTTCAAATTTCTCACTTGAACATTTAAAAAGTATTACTTAATAACTATAAATTCGTAATACACCTTTTATTTTTTTTACTTTTAGTAACGATTTTTAGGAAAACCATATTTCACCTCTTAGAAAATAAAAAACACATTTAAACAATTTTGATCGAAAATAATTGTAGCGTTAGATGTAGAAGTTTATAGATTTTAAATTCATCGACAGAAATTGGTAAAAATCGTAGAACATTTACCTCGCCACCACTATCCATGTTTTTTAATAATATCTAAATCAGATAAGTACAATAATAGGTAGAATGTATTCGCGATCGGCTTCGCAAAGTAATTCTCGCTCTCTGTAAAATTTTGATAAATTTTCGCTTATGAAAGTCATTTTAAATTTTAAACAATTAGCAACAAGAAATTCGTTAAAATTTTTTGTCAATTACTAAATTAATAATTTTTCAATAAAATAGCTGACAACTTACTCTTCAAATATACTTAAGCATGTTGTCTTACTACCATTCAGTTTCGATTAATTTAGGTTTTAAAATCATTATTCGTGTAGCTTTTGTGGGATATACAAATTTTATTTTTGTCGTCGTCATAATTATTTTAAACAAAGCTTAGTGCATCTTGACTTTCGTCTGACCATAATCCTTAACTATAAAATTGTTTTTAATTCAATAGTTTAATATTAATTATATGAATATAAAATAGAAATTATTGGCAATTTCACATTTTGTCAAGTTATTCCGAACACGCATTCAGCCAGAGTATAAATTGTTATTGATTAACTTGAAAACTTACTAATGTGTTTTTACCGAGGTTATAGTTTTGGGGGGAATTGGGTGGTTTATCCCCTCCTAAAATGAAAAATATTTTTACGCTACCATAAATGTCTACGACAAAGTTGCACAAACTTTAAGGAACATCAAAGTGGTCCAAACAAAATTTATAAAGGCATTTACTTCCACAATAATAAGTGTTCATACAATAGTGTCTAGAAGGTTATTATGAGTAACCATTTAGAAAATGTATAGAACTTTATTTTAATGAGCTTAAAATATTACCGTTGCACAATGGGACCAAACGCTAATTTAGGTACTACTAATTTTATATCAAACTTGATTTTTTTTTAAAAGATCATATACAAAATTTGAAATCAAAAAGTTGTGTTATGATTATAGCACACAACTCTTTGAACACACGAGTTGGTAATTTTTGCGTTTCTTTCAAGGATTTTTAAACTAGTGTTGAAACCTTTTTCCTGCTTAAATATATTATATATTACATTTAAAAATACGTTTAAAATTATGTCTTTTACATTTAGTAAAGAAAAAATAGCTATTTTTAAAAATTTTATGAATATTATCGATTTTTTTTTTATACATTTTTACTAAATTATGCATTTGTATAAAAATTATGTTATATTGCGCTAAATCCAATAAATAATAATTGCAAATACAAGTCGTAAACCAAGTTTTAACAAAATTACATTAATTTACATTTGAGGAGTAATGATACAATTTCCTTGAATAAAATTAGGTATTTTTTAGTAAACAAATGGGTTTTTATGTTATTATTAGTCTTCGAAAACAGATTATATTCGTACGTAATCTTTTGACTTGAAATTCAGTACATAAACTTATATTAAGATATGAGAAAAAAAAAATGATTTTAAATTGGTTTTTCATCAGACTAATTTAGCGTTTGGTCCCATTGTGCGCCGTCGAGCTTTAAAAATTTAAACAATGATGAAAGAAAAAAATATATTCGCTGTCAACAAAAGAATATTTTTTGTTTTTACAGACCATTAGGCGTCATACAGGTAATCCAATTATCTAATACGATTATTATCATGTATTATGATTATTGAAAAAGAAGGTTTAATGCTCTGCAAAAATGAAGGTTAAGTATCGATCAAAACCAACCTGTAAGTTTACTATTTGCTAGAGCCGTATCTAAGTTGAAAATAATAATGTATGCTTTGGCTACATCATTAATATTTTGTCTTCAAACGTGTAAATCAATTACTTAAATTTATTTTCCATTATTTCTAAATTTAAGTAAATTATATTGATATTTCCTTGTTCTATTATATATTATATTGATATTTTGAAATTTATATTAACCGGAATCATTGCAAATAAAAATAAATGACTTAAACCTAAACAACTATAATTTGGTCAACTAATGATAATGTATAAACTATAAATATATAAAATTAGAAATGTTTATATGTGTCTCTCATATTCTATGTTTTTATTATTATTAGCAACAAAGTGATTATAAATTATTATAGTTATTTTTATTCTCTATACAGTTATTGAAACTTAAAAAACGTCTACTTAATTAATTTTAAAGGCGTATTACATTTAAAATTAATTAAATAGACGTGATTGATATTTTAAACTTGTGTAATATGCAAGATTTTCAAATATTTACTTTATTTAATGATTATAGTTGCAAATACAAAACTTTACAACTACTAATACAACACTATTTCTTTTGTATTGAAAATTGCAAAGTTTTACATTTATTTTACAAAAATGAAATAAAATTTTAAGTTTTACACTTTTAATATTCTCAAATTCTCGAAAATTCAACTAAGTGTACAATGATTTCGTTTTTTCAGTACAAAATTCAAAGAAAGTATATCATAAAATATTATGCATTTATATTAATTTTAGTTGTTCATTGTTTATTTCAATCTGAGAAATAAATATTATGCGTACAGAATTTTTTTTTATTTTGATAGATTTAAAATAACCTTCAAATAATTTTATAAAATATACTCGGTTTTTTACAATTATTACACAAGAAATAATATATATAAATTTCATAGTATTAAAGTTTCATAAGTACAATTTCATTAAAATTTAAAGTAACAAAAACTAAAGTCAACAATCATGAGTACAGAATGTCCTTACGTACCTTTAATGAAAATTTCATTTTGATGAGATTATTGTTATTAAAAAAATAATTCATTTATTTAATTTTAGTAATTTTTATATAGGCAAAGAAAATTGGACTTACATTGTAATAGATTTACTAAATTGTGTTAGCCGTGGAAGTTTGACTAGATAAAATATTGCTACTGATATAGAAATTAAACTTTTATTTTTATAATTTTATATTTTAAAAACCTTCATCAATTAAGTTAAAATGTGTAATACTATTAATAATCAACTTCGATAGATGAAAAGATACTTTTAAGCAAGTTAAAATATATTGTACAGTGTCCTCGTATTTGAAAACAAATCACAGTGAATAATTTGTTATCATTTATTTACATGATAAATAAAACAAAGCCGGTACACAAGATATATAAGTAATCCATATCCTACTATTGTTTTTGGCGCGTAATATCTTACCTGATTTATCTTTGACTGTTTTTAGAGCTTGGCCGCCAACCAAGTGCGCGGCCGATGTGACCACTGTGAACAGGACGGCTACGATTACTACGATCACGGTCGTTTTGCCGGTAATAGCCGGTGGCCACCTTAGTGTTGGTGTAGCCATATGACTACTACTAAGGCGAATTCGTGATGCTGTGAACCCGGGCCATTCGGGCGACGTACTGTGCTCCGTCGATGAGTGTCGCACGACCGAAAGCTACCGCTCCGACCAGTTGCGCCGCGTGCGCGTTCGATAAGCCGCCGACGCGATCACCACGCCTACTGGCGGTCAACCTGACGCCGTCGAGGGCCGTGCGTGGCGCCCGCACGTCGCGGCATTACCCATACAATGTGTTACTACAGTTACCCGCGCCGCGATCATCCGAACGCAAACCATAACACCCCGCAGTTGGCACTGCTCAGCACAGCAGAATTGTGGTAGTAGGGGCTGTTTCGAAGAGACGCGACGAATGGCGCGGACAGAGACAAAAGTGTGCGATTGAAAATCAATTTCCCGGTAGCGAAAGAGGATTTATTAAATATGCATACAAATCATCGTTATAAGATAACGCGCGTCTAATGGATAGTATGACATTCATGCGATGTGGTTAGTAAACGTCCGGATCAAATGTCAAATGACTTGCCCGCTAAGATGGAATGTGTAGTTCCAACGAAGGCGTCAAGAGTTTTAGAGACGTATCCTAGAAATTTCAACTCATAAATTTTGTACAATTCAAAGGGTGAAATTTTCAAGTTAAAAAACACTACATTTGAAATTATATTTTTGCGTTGGGCAATATAAATGGAAAATCTAATAGTTTAATAAATATGCAGATACTTTTCTTTTTTTTCTATAAGATGTATAGCTTTCACAGCTGTGGTTCTATTTGTACATATTCTAACTGTACCTATACAATCTGGGATATTTAAATTTTTTTTCCTGAGTTTCCTTTTTTTTTTTACAATAATAAGGCAACTTTTTGAAGATGGCCCTATTTTACTTTATTCTTTGTATTAGTTTAAAACTTCATCAAGTATTTAGTTTTTTTTTTATTTCGCTACTCGTGTGGATCATCATTTACAATAATCGGATGAAGTCATGAGCGTAGCTTGAAAAAATTGTCTGTGGGACTTATACTATGTCTTTTTTCTGAGTCTGAATAAAAGATCTAGTTAAGAGCTTCTCACTCTGTCCAATTACTTTGTCTTTTCTCTCTCTTACCCCCAAAAATACTCTGTTTTTGTGGGGGTAACGAACTTGTATATGGAAACTTAAGCCTCCGTAACTTCCAAGCAAACTACGCTAATGGAAAAAGTGTGTAGTATTTAAACTAAAACACGAATAGTTTACGTTAACCTAATTTTTGGTTTAATACTGAGATTAAAAATGATAAAATTGCAAATAGGAGGGTTATATTATTATTTCACGCTTAGATACCATTGAATTAAATTACATCATTACTCTATACATTATCATCATATTTTTAGACCGAGTTTTTGTAATTTTATAAAAAATGATGTTAGGTAAATAACTTATATCAAAACTTGTCATAACATTTTTTAAAAATATTTTTCTTGAATAAATATCTATAAAGTATAAATCCTTTAAAAGTATTAAATTACATCAAATATTTTGATGGTGTGCAATTAACTTATTCGATATGTTTCAAAATAATTGTCATAAAATTTCAGCTTATTATATGAAATTATCATAACTTACACAGTAAATAATCAAACAGAATGAACGTTATACTGAACTATTTGGAAAAACTTGGAAGAAAATTTCTAGAAAATCTTATGACTTTTCAGTTACCATATTATCTCCAACATTTATTTTCTAAATATAATATTTAGTAACTATGATATTATCTTAAGGCAAGCTAATATGGGCTTTATGTAACTTATCTAAATAAAAATCGAAAAATTGCTTAATTGTGCGTTCTCAAACTTTTTCTATAAAATAGTATTCCCAGAATGTTCAAACATTTGATTTCTAATAATATTCTGATATTAATAAAACTCCTTCTATCTTTCTCAGTTATTAGTCATTTCCTTTACAGAGATTATATATAAGTATTTATCAAATTGTAAACTTCTCTTTAATAATAAGTCTTTTTTTTGAGTTTCTTAAATGATTATATATATATATATATATAATGTATAGTTATAAATGTCAACATTAGTAATATATATCTTACTATAGTATAGCATCGATAATAAACATTAATTGGCTACAATCTTATATTTTCTTGAAATGATCTTCAAACATCTCGTATACATTGGACATAGAAGAAAAATGTTGGGAAAACTGATAGGACTAAAAAATTAGAATTTTTTTAGGTAACATTAAAAAAATATATCCTTGCTTCTCACAGATTGTAAATGAAATTTACACTTCTGAAAAGAAGGGATTCTGAAATAGGCGCCTTAACTTCATAAAAAAATATTATTCTACTATGAAATTATAATCAATTTTTAGGGATCGGCTTGGCCTAGTGGGTAGCAAGGTTGGCTAGACCGACAGTGGTTGTTGTTATTATTATTTAAGGATACATGTTTATTTTTGGATAATAAAAGAATAAACACTGCAGAAATTCATTATTTTGATAGTTTATTATTCTACACAAAAGGAATTATTACAAAACTAATATTATTTAAGCATTGCTCTTAAATAAAATAAATATGATTTATTAGCGTAGAGTAAAAAAGTTTTTTAGACACTATTATAATATTTAAAAAAATACTTGAAGGATGGTGTTTACTACTGAATGTCATAAAAATTGTTCTGTTATTATTAACATTAATTTCTATTATGAAAGCATTTTACTTATGGATAAAAAAATAAATGCTATAAAAGTTTTGAAATCAATTTGATGCTTTTATTTTAAGGTTATCCAATAAAAATGTTATTTAGACGTTACATAGTAAATTATATTTATAATTAAAAATTACATTTTAATAATAATATATGATTATGCTTTTTATAAATAATTTAAAAATTGTTTAATTTATTAAAATTAATTGTTTTGTATATATTTGGATTGTATGCAGTGATTATCATAGATATTTTTATTATAAACATGAAAATTTACATTTGCATTGTTTTATTGTCAATTTTATACTCCGGTAAAAATATTTTTGGATACATAAAAAGCTGTAAGTTTTTCAAAATTGTGTAGTTCGATCAAATTGTAAGATATAGCAACATATTTTATTTCCTGTGTAGAATATAAATTTTATTTTAGGCAAAAAATTCTCAATATTATAATTTTTATTTGATTATTCATTTTAATAAAACATTTTTATTATTTATTTTATGAAAGAATGTTTTAATTTTATTAAATGTGTGCGTTCTATTGCATAATATACATAACTAAGATAATATAGTTCATTTATCATAAGTAATGGTTAGATACAATTTATATTTTTAACTAATTCCAGATTTTAGAAGTACATTGTTTGCTCAGATGATAATCCTTTATAATTTTAATTAACATATTATAAATATAGATCAGTACCTACAGTAGAACTATTCCAGATGAGTTTATGTATAATATAATAAATTACATTGATGTCCAAGAAATCGCTACAGGGGTTCTATCAAAAGGGTAGTGGATTTCAACAGGATCGTAACGAGATGAACTTTCCTACTGTTGTTGATTTAGTAAATTTTTAAATTTCTCCCCTTTGTGTGCTTTTGTACATGCCTATGTTGATAATGTACGTGGCGCCGGGATGTCCGTAGCGATAGCAAAGGGAAGCAAAGTCAACGCCAAACACAAGAGGTGGATCAACTCGGAGAGAAGTAAGTCATTTCAAAAAATTCAATATTTAATGAACTCTTTTTCCTTTTTCACCACGCAGAATTTTTATGTGTAATCATTGTATAAAAGAATCGTTTTTAAATTTTTCTTTTTTACATGATGCAATTAAATAATATTTCTGTACTTAACTCTTTAAGTGAACTTTTCACTAATACGAGAGTAAGTACGTTAAATGATTGATTTTTTGTTGTGAACGTTTTATACAATTTTTAAGCGCATACAATTTATTCGATCTTGTTATTAAGCAATTTGTATATTTTTTGTGTTTACAGAATTTTATTCACTGCATATGATACACTCCTAGTTTCATATTAAAATTTTGAATGGATACAAGTCGATAAACTTATGAATAATTAACGAATGAAGCATTGAAATGTAAAGAATTACACGAATTAATGAGAACATATATAATAATTATAATTGTACCGGTGTTATTTAAATCACATAATCATTTTCATATTTCTTACAATTATAACTGTTCACGTTAAAAATGGGGTAGCAGTTGTTGTTTTAAAGGTTGTATGAGTCATTTAGATTTATATTAATTATAATTATGTAAATAAAAAGCAGACACACGCTAGTTAACGTGGGGTTTTTCGTCGTAGTCAAGTGGCACGTTTTTTTTATAAATTTTTATATTATAAAATGCAAACATTTTCTTCTAAGGTGCAATAAAATTTTATGTTTGCCTGCAGTGAAGTGTTTTAAATTATAAACCAACGTTATAAAAACAAGAAAGATGATTTTGGTAATTTGATTAATTATTCTTGAATTATATTAAGTAATAATGTAAAATTACCGTAATAATATTTTTATAATATTCTCCGCAATGTTTTTAAGAATATTTGTTTTAACATAATTGTAAAATGGTCTTGAATTGTCCAACAAGTAAAACATTGGTCACTTCTAAATTTATCAATTTAACTTTAGATAATTTGATCAAATGACGATAAAAATATAGTCCACTTCAAATAAAAGTCAACCAATTATTCAATTATATGTTTTCGAATTTATCAATATTTTAAAATTAGTTTTAGAAGTAATCAAATTTATGTTTGACTGTCAAGTTGTGCTAAATTCGTTGTAATCAAATAGAATTTATTTTTTACTGGAAAGTTATTTATTTCATTTTTTTTCTTGGGAGGGTTATTATTATTAGACTTTGAACAACAAATAAAATATTAAGAAGCCATAGAAATGCACAATATTAAGAAGCCATAGAAATGCAAAAATATTAAGAAGCCAAAGAAATGCACAATATTAAGAAGCCATAAAAATGCAAAATATTAAGAAGCCAAAGAAATGCAAAAATATTAAGAATCCATAGAAATGCAAAAATATTAAGAAGCCATAGAAATGCAAAAATATTAAGAAGCCAAAGAAATGCACAATATTAAGAAGCCATAAAAATGCAAAATATTAAGAAGCCAAAGAAATGCAAAAATATTAAGAATCCATAGAAATGCAAAAATATTAAGAAGCCATAGAAATGCAAAAATATTAAGAAGCCAAAGAAATGCACAATATTAAGAAGCCATAAAAATGCAAAATATTAAGAAGCCAAAGAAATGCAAAAATATTAAGAATCCATAGAAATGCAAAAATATTAAGAAGCCATAGAAATGCAAAAATATTAAGAAGCCAAAGAAATACAAAAAAAAAAAAATGAGAAACCATAGAAATAAAAACTATTAAGAAGCTATAGAAATGTAAATTATATAGCATAAGATTTTTAAATATTTAAATAGCAATAAATATTGTGAAAATAATGATACAATAAATTTTAAATAATAAATAATATTATGATTAATATTCTTTCACCTTCATTTTTTTTTAGCTTCAATGCGGAACTGAGAAGTTTTTAATTTTACTGTGATGTGTTTTTTTTTTAATTCTAAAATATTATGATAATATTCATTTTATAAATAGATAAACTTTTTAACTTTTTATTTTTATATATTATTTTAAATTACGAATTATTAAAAAATAAAAATTATATTCCTTGGATCTTGTTTTGGCACTTTTAAAGCATTTTAGAATTATTAAGTTTTAATTATTTTTTCCTTTAGTTAACGGCGAAATTTAATCATTCAATTTAATTGTTTTGATTAATTTTTTATGTTTATGATGGCTAAATAAAGTATGTATATTATAGATAACAGTAGAGTGAAGACTATTATTTCTGCACCGTAAAACATTTCTTAGTACTCCTATTAGATTTTTATTATTTTTTTTTTATTCCCTTTTTTTTTATCAAGATCTAAAATGATACTTTTAGTTAAAACTATGTTGTACCTACGATTTCTGCTGTTATAACTTTATGCTAAAACTAGAATAGAATTGCAAAGAAAAATTCAAAAGTATTTATTAAAAAGCGAATTAGTACTTGAATGCGTTCAAAATGAATAATGTAATACATTTCGTATACGCTGTAATCTTATGTAGTAAATAAAATAGTTCTTGCTACCTTTTAGAAGAGTTTAGAATTTGAGTGAATACCTTTGTTGAGAGTGCTTGAAGCATCCACCAAGAGATATTTATATTAAAACACAGGTAATACCCTTAAATGTAAGAAACTCGTTGAAAATGAAAAATAATAACAAAATATGTATCATCATAAAAGTAAAAAATATGTATCTATATAAAAATCTGTAGTCATTATTTTTTATTGCGCAATGAAAAACAATATATTTTCAAGAACAAAGTCTATTAAAAGTTCCACCACCCTAATCGCCTACCCTATGGTATAAAATATACAGAAAAAAAGTGTACGCCAAAATATTTAGGAGCTTCATTATGTCTCTAGAAATCTTTTTTGCATTTTATTGCCGATATACATTATCATAAAGCGATCATTGACGTAACCTGGTATGTATGTTATTTGCAATGTTAGTTTAATGTTTATACAAGAACACGAATTGAATTTCTTATAAAATGACTTGAGAAAAATCGTAACACACACACACACACATATATATATATATATACGAAAAACCAGCTCCTAACTGAATAACAAATAGTAATTTGATTACAGAGTTTCTTCTTTCAATCTTTTTTAAACTTTCATCACAATTTCGACAAATAATTTGTCACTTTTATGGTGTAAAATAGATGTTTGTATTTGCAATACCGAAAGTTGAGACCAGTAGGCAGTTGTATGCGATCAAAATTCTCACAGGAAATAAATACGAACAAAGTTAGAATATATTTGGCGATGTTATGTGCAATACAAATGTTTTGTTATAAAACTTCTTTATATTACTTATAAAATGTTATGATTTATGTGGGTAAGCATTTTATTTGATTAAGATATATATATATATTTGATATATATCGATTTTTTCTTTTTAGTACGAGATGATCTTAAAGTAAGCGATTATAACTTGTTTTTTATAGTCTCTCTCATCCATTTTTAAAATAATCGGTCTTCTGAAAAATTATCTATTATGCGGTAAGTAAGACCGTTTTGTTCTCATGCGAAAACATATTTATTTACANCGTCTCTCTCATCCATTTTTAAAAATAATCGGTCTTCTGAAAAATTATCTATTATGCGGTAAGTAAGACCGTTTTGTTCTCATGCGAAAACATATTTATTTACAATTTTTGCATAATATGAAAGTTATAATATAATATATACATAATATCAAGTCTAATTTCCGTTAGATAGTTAATTATGATTTGTATTTAATATTTATTTTATCTGAGCTATTTAATCTAAAATAAATTATTAAACAAATATTAAGGCAATTCCAAGAAAAAATATATTATGATTATATTTGGTTTCTATCTTATATTTTATAATTCACAAAGATGCAAAATAAGTGACACCTATGAACAATGTCACTTAGAATTTTTATGTAGAGAGTTACATATAAAACCCCACAGGGAGACAATAAAAAGTCTTGGCTTATTAGTTATGTATGATATTCCAATACTTGCCAAAGCGATAGAACATATAATTAGGTTAACTAAGCCTTTTTTACCACCGATCCATTTATCTTTAATTATTTTTGACCAAGTCAAATTAACTTTTATTGGCTGTGGAACTACAGATGACCACACCAACAAGTATGAAGGCTTATGTAATGAATTGAGCCCGGTTCCATCAGTGTACCATTCAAACATCTCGGGAATTTTGTAAACTAGGATCACTAGAGATTGTTTTCCGAAAACACTCTTATCCCAACCGTCATCTGAAGTTTCATATTTTAATACTTTATTCAGACTAGAGTTCATACGAACTAAACAGTTGCTGTTTCGATGAAGATTAAGAATCTCATAAAATTTACACGTGTAGAAACCAATTTTACCAGGTCTAAAAGGTCTGCTGTCTTTCGGGTGGCATTTTAAACTTACTTTAAACACAGTACAATGCAAATCACTTGACGGTGGCGTTTGGTCGATTCCATGAGAAAACAATCCGTCCAGTAAATTTTTAGCTACGTTCTCTTTAACCGTTTCAATTTTCAAATAATTTTCATCAGTTTTACTGAATAACATTTCGAAAAAATCTGATGATGGTAACGGATCGTAATAAGATTCTAACTGATTAATCAATTCAGAAAATGAAGGAAGGCTTTCGATTTCTTTTAATAATAAAACAGGCTCATACTTTGTTCTTGAAAGTAATCTGACATCGCTTGTTTTGTCCGGTCTGTTACAATCACTAGGAAATTCTAAGGATTTCTCGTTAGTACTGAGATTATTTATATACGAAACGAACATGTCTAATTGAACTTGTAATGCAAAAGGATCTTTATGTAAGGCACTCCGAACCTTATTTTTTAATAATCGCTTTTTCCGTAATAAGCAATGTGGGCTGAAATATTCTCCCAACAATCCCATATTGATTTTTAACAAGAACACATTAAGTTCACAAAGGAAACAAATGTTGAAAACTCTATTAAAACGTACTGATAAACCTGAGCAAATGTCTAATCAATAACTTTTTAGCTAATTAATCTTGTTGCTAAGATATAGAAATTGTGTTAGCAAAGTTATTTTGTAATTAATAATTTAATTGTTCTTAAAATAATTGCCAATGTATGATAGTTTTACAAAATAGTAATAAAATTAATTACATTCATGTGCAGTTTAACTGAGTGATAAAAGTAAACTTTATACTGAAAATAGTTTTATTATGACTGGAAATTAGTCTTTTTTACAGTTTTACTTTTTTTCTACATCTACGCTAGCTTAACGAGAAAACGCATTCATTCGTTTATTGCTTATGTATTTTTCATTAATTCAACTATTTTATTAAATTTGCGACGTATGAATTTATTTAATTAATAACTTTGAAGGGATTTAAAACGTGATTAATTCGTTGTATTATAACATGCACTGAAATATTTCCCAAGAAGACATTATGCATTTTAATCAATATAGTTATAATTATACTACTCTATGGAACATTTTTTTCAGTTAAATCTAAATTGTAAATTTTGCTAAATACAAAATATTTAATAGTTTCGGATTTTACCGAATTTTAATTTACAAATATATCATAATGAAAATGTTTTTAAAATATTACACGTACTAATATGTGTCAAGTGTGATTCGACATGAAAAAATACGTGCTGCTGAGTTTAGAATATGATAACAATTGACCTTAAAATGACGTTAAAGAACAATACACAAGTACACAATCAGTGTACTATAATAAATGCTACAGGAGAGTGCAATAAAAAAAAGTAGTGGTATTCAGTTGGTTTACTAGTAGGTATAAGATCATTGGTGTATTGTTATACAACTGTATGTTTTGAAAACGAACACTAGTAAAGATAAACAGGTTGTTATGTATTAGCAATAAGTTTCATTAATAATGTGATAGCCACAGCTTGTCGTCCGTTCACCAACAGCAGCTGTGCGCTGTTTTTACTACAGTTTAATATACATTTTATTACGAATGGTCCGTGAGTGATTTTTGCATTAAAATGATAATAATATTGAGAATTGCCGAGATGGTAAGTAGAGAATATTACTATAAAAATAAATTATTCTTTTTACTGAAATATATTAAATGGAAAATTGTAAATGGTGCTTAAATTTTAATATTTTAATTTATTTTTTTCAATCAAGTACAAAGATTTCTTTGTCATAATATTTTACTTTTTTATGTTTAAAATCGCTGGAATCAGTAAATAATCTTCATGGATAGTAGATAATAAATAAATACCTATTTTTTTTTTAATTTTGAAATATAATATTAAAATTGCACTATTATGTAATCAATCAGAATTATCGTAAATTATGTTATAAATGATCTGAACGCACCTTTGATGATATAAACGCAAAGTAACATAAAATAATTAGTGTAATTCTCCCCATTACTTGTCATTCGAATAAATAAAGGTATACTTATCAAGACAGTCTTCAAAGTTATCTGGGTGACCTAATCTNCAAAATGATAATAATATTGAGAATTGCCGAGATGGTAAGTAGAGAATATTACTATAAAAACAAATTATTCTTTTTACTGAAATATATTAAATGGAAAATTGTAAATGGTGCTTAAATTTTAATATATTAATTTATTTTTTTCAATCAAGTAAAAAGATTTCTTTGTCATAATATTTTACTTTTTTATGTTTAAAATCGCTGGAATCGGTAAATAATCTTCATGGATAGTAGATAATAAATAAATACCTATTTTTTTTTTAATTTTGAAATATAATATTCAAATTGCACTATTATGTAATCAATCAGAATTATCGTAAATTATGTTATAAATGATCTGAACGCACCTTTGATGATATAAACGCAAAGTAACATAAAATAATTAGTGTAATTCTCCCCATTACTTGTCATTCGAATAAATAAAGGTATACTTATCAAGACAGTCTTCAAAGTTATCTGGGTGACCTAATCTTTTACATAATTAGAAAATAATTTCCATAGTATTTAATAAAATTAAATGTAGTATTTCAAAAATTTCATTTACCTATAGTACTATTAATTCTATTCATGTTTTTAATCATATGATTTTTTTATGTAAAATCGATTTGTATTTTGGTGTATTTCTTTTCTTATCATTCCTTATAGAAAATTCTAGGTACCTGTGGGTTCTAATGGACAACTGTAGATATTCTAGAGTTATAAATTTTGTAAATTTAATTTAATAATTTTAATTCGAAATTAATGTGAAAAGTAATTTAAATATCATTTACACTCATCGATTATCTGAATTACCATTAAAAATATATTACAATTGCACATAATTATGTATCCTGCAACGAATTTTATGAAGTAGTTCAAGGATTTTATTTTTTGTCTTGACATAAGGACATTTTGCGGCGCTGACACATAACTAATTTTTAGTTTTATAATATTTATTTATTATTTACAATCTTAAGATTATAAATATATATATATATTTGATATTGTTAAATTCGTCCGTTTATAATTTTCCTTTTGAATATCTTAGTTTTTTGATTATTTTATTCTAATTATGTTTGGATGCAGTATTGACGCATAAGCTATCTTCGTATCTCGGAGATGCTAAACATTTATATTTATTTACCAATAGAGTAACATTTTTTTGTTTTCTTTATTTTTTCATTGAAAAATGTAAAATTAATAAAAACATTAGGTACACTATATACTCCTAATAACTAAGTTATTAGGGATATTTATATGTGCATTTATAAGATACAATAACAAATTTTAAAATAGTTTAAAATAAATAGTAGACGTGTTTTTAGGGGTTAAAATATGTTTTTCAACATAAAAATGTTTTGAACATCAAAAAAATCATACCTTTGGTACGATGGTCTAAGCCAATCCGTAAATTTTTAAATATGTCCAATTGATTATTAATATAATATTTATAAAAAAAAAAAAAACAAAAAGTTAAAATGTGTCATCTATTAACTTCAATTCCAATACGGGTAATATTATACAGAATGATTATTTAACTATGACTCACGCAATATTGTTAAAAATGTAAAATATAATATAATATAATCTTTTCAGAAGTTAATAGTATTGTACGTTTTATAATTTCCAAAGATTAATTTGCCTCTATCTCCTCTCTTTCTCTTTTAAAATTTGATCAACCCTAGAAAAAAACTTAAGTATGTTTCTATTTAAAAAAAATGGAGGAATCTCTTCACCTTAGTTGGTTAAACATAAACAACAAAATGACTAATCGATGATAGCTTTTACACTAGCATTTTTATAAGGCCGGAAGAGTAGAGCAGTTTATTAATGCCAAGAGATAAAAATAAATGGATCCGCGTTTATCTCCAGTTATTATATTAAAAAGTTAATAACTTCCAAATTACTAGTCCAAAAGTTATTATCAATGTGTCATTTTGTTAAATAGATAATTTTCTAGCTCATAAGTTGGTTTACAACTTCTTTTGTTATTTCAATTTATAAGAAATGAATACAATTTTAAGGAGGAAAGAGGAGAATAGGGAAAAATTTTATTGAAAATTGTAGCACGTAGGATATTTTTAACTTCCGAAAAGAAAAATTGTGTTATATTTTAAAATATACTGCGTGAGCCATATTAAATAATCTCACTGTATTTTTAGTGTCAGTCTTAATATAATTTTTATTTAATATATTTATTACTTGTAATAATTTAGTAATACATTATGAAAAAAAAAATTAATAAATATTACCTTTTATTTATGAATTATGATTTTTTCTAGGTGTTCCCAGTAATTTTAGCAATGGGGATGGCAGGATTCACAAATAATCACCCAGAAGATATTTTTCAGTTAATGCGACTTCAATTAGGCCAACCTAAGTGGTTTAAAAAAGTAATATTAACGCAAATAGTAGTGTATATTTGCATATTTTTTAGTTTATTAAAGATTGTTGGACAAGCTATTAAAGAACCTATCTCTAAAAAAGTGGCAAGTTGATTTTTCTACAACTATTTTATATTTACTTGATTAATTCCCTGTGTTTAAGTTTTTGTCTAATCAGATGTTAATGACATTTCAGATGGTTCTTGGCGATACATTAGTTATTATAGGATGTTTAATGTCATCTTATTTTTTATTACAAATTCATAAAGATTTCAATAAGCATGAACTGATGGTTGGCTCGATGTCGTATGCTATCATCGGTCTTCTTTTTACGTGTGATGCAGCTATTATGTCTCATCAATTAATTGCAAAAATGAGACAACGTCGGTAGTTATATTCAATTGGAAAATAATTATTTAAAACTTTTATTCGTTCCTGAAATTAATTTATACTGTTTTAGATAAAATCGTAATTTAATATCATGTTTACTTTAAAATACTCAATCAAATATTTTATTATGTAATAATACGATTTATAATGTACAATACTATACAAATTTGAAGTATATTTTGTTTTATAGTTAGATATTAAGTTTTAATTTATACACTAATATTTTATATATATGTGTATGTATAACACTGTACAATTATTTTATAGCATAATGATTATTATACTTATGACACTTATGATGTTAAAGCTATTATAATTTTATTTTAATACCAAAGAATAGAATTACATTTTCTATCAAAACTTACTTTATAAAAAATAAACCAACTTTCAACTATAAATCGATTTTTGTTAATAATAAAATTAATCAAATGTGTATACGCATATATTATTATAATATACATATATATAAAGTGTAAACATTTAAAATACAAAATTATTACTTTGAATATTATATATAAGTATTACCCTGCTAATTTCATAAAGCCATCAAGAAATGTGTCATGTTCAATTGTGAATCAATTATCATTAAGCCATTTTCATAATGATATTGAAAAGTCCATTAGGTTATTATAATATATTTTTATTTTTATAAATGTTTTATTTTTTATCGGTTAGAATTAATGTTACAAATATTATTGTTATCTGTATTAATGTTTAACATATCATAAAACAGTAGCTAAAAAAATATATTTTTGCTTTTACCCAAGATGATATTTAAAGTGAAATGTATTATTTTATTTAAGACACTATAATGGACGAATTTTAAATTACTGATGGTTTTTGTCCAATATTTTTCAATCATGCGTTCATGCGTATAAATATTTTATTATTTTACGACTCCTTACTACTATAGCTTTTTATATTAATTAACACGACCAAAATTAATAGTACAAAATGCATGAGCGTTTTTTTATCCAACTATTATATTAATTATTAACTTAAGTTCAATTTGATCTACTTCCCGTACTTTTATTCAAGAATAATAAAGCCAAAGTATTTTAAATACATATGTATCTATTTATGAAAAGATAATAAAACGCATATAGAATTAAAAAAATTCTATTTTCTATTATAAAATAATACTTTACATTTAACTACGACCCCGAGATCAAAGAAAAGTTTATTGCTTAAACAAATCAAACTTAGTATCACGTACATTTAACTTAACTACGAGGACAATTTGCGGCGAAGCCATGCATCATTAAATAGCCAACATTAACAATGGACAATCGTTCTTATAATGTTGTCTTATACATAGATGCAATTAAACAATAGGTGTCAATACTATAATAACAAAAACCATTAAAACCTTTATACTATCTATACATCATAAGTGTTTTTTCAAAAGAATAATTTGTGTACTTAATATATCTTTATCCGTTATAACATTGAAAGTTTAAAAACAACATACATTTATACTTAAAGATATGATTAATATGTTGTATAATGTTTGTACAAACCTTATCTCATTTGTGTACATACATTTATTTTTGAATATGCTATATAAATATTTCATTTACCTAAAGACTTCCCAAGAGATTAAATTTATGGATTGTATTCTCTTGTCATGAGATATATTAAACATATCTTATGTTAAATTTATTTTTATACAATTTCATAGAGTATATTAAGAATATATTATTTGAAATAATGAGAGGACTGTACACATATACTGCACAACATTGGCATGAATAATGTAAAAGATGCAATAGATAAACATTTATAATGAAAGAGAAATCGCCTAATTATTTAAGAAATCATTAAAAATATTTAGAAATATTAAATTTTAATTATAAATTTAGTAAATAATAACAAACATTTTCGGGTCTTATTTTACGGTAAATTTTGGATAGACAAAATGTTTTGTTCTCATTTATTTCGTAAGAATATTTCTTCAAAGGTCAATTAGATTAATTGTTCATATTCATCACACACCAAAATTAAAAGCAATGCTTTATTCTTTAATGTATTCTTTAAAAAGTAATGAAATTTCATGAGTGACGTTCTTTACAACACTCGTAATGCATAAATCATCTACGCAATAACAAAATATTACCATCAACATAGAAAGCTTTGTTCTACAAAAGTAATATTGGATAAAAAAAAAGAATAATTTTTGACTTTTTATTTATTTTATAACTAAATAAACTCATGAACATTGGATATTTTTCATGTAAAGCATACATTTTCTAATTATCATTAGTAACACAATACAATCATTAGTAACAATGAAAAAGCTATTAAAAGACTTTTATTAAAAAAAAAATTATAATTTTCAGTTCAAACATAATTTATAACAGAATTTAATGAATAATTAGCAATATTTTTATTTTGTCATTCTGTTTAGTAAATAATAAAGAATAGAACAGTTTTATTTTAGTATATGAGTACTGAATGTAGTTATTACATTCAGCCTTGGTATTCTATTCATTAAATCTTGATTATTTTAAAAGTTGGTACTAAGCACTTAGCAAAAACATTAACTCTAGCTGTAATGATAATGCAATTTAAAACTAACCCTTTCACGCAAAACCACTTTTTAAATATAAGACTAGTAAATTAATTATATGTGCTTGGTAAGTAATTACGTACAACCTCTGACTCAATTAAATAAATGTAATAATAAATTTTATAAGACAACGCAAGAGAAAATATGATTTAAATCTCATCTTAAAATATACTGAACACTCTGTATAGGAAATTTCCTTAATTTTATAAATTTCTTATTTGTTCTCGTAAAATAAAAAATAAATTGGATTGGACACACGGCCATCATTAATTAATTTGTATAATATAAGTGAAATAAAAATCTTTAAGTCATTTTTAAAATGTTTAAAATATTTTAGTCGACATTAAATCAACTAATTTTTTTACTAAAATTTTATATCATATTTGAAGAATATAAAATCAGTTAAAAATATTGAATGAATTTAAAGCTCTAAGACAAATGCCTTGTTGATTACTAATCGAATTTATCGAATATTTAACGATGATTATAATGTATTCTTTCTTTTTTCCCTCTTTCGCCGGTAAGAAAATTGTGATCTAAAAAACATGGGAGAAAATGAGCCAAAGATTTTGGGGGCTAATAATTTTTATATAAATAAACTCGACTCTTCGGTCCTCAGTGTTTGTATTTCTTGCTTATTTAATATGATGGATAATAATATATTATACTTGTACCATATTAAATATATAAAATTACAACTTAATCAATAATTTCTATTTATTTAAAATCAACAACCTAAAAAGCAAAATTAATCACTTAAAAACTCAATACTAATTTTATATATGTTATTAACCCTTAAGCAGGCGCGTACCTATTTTTAACGTTCATAGTCGCGTGGACCCATAATAGACCCATTAGACTCCATTTCTAAAAAAGTAAAAAATATGTATAAAAAAGTTCATTTTTTTAAATTCAAAGACATTATTTGTTACCATATGATATATAAATATGGATAACAATTAAAAAATAAATAAATGACAAAATTATGTGCATTACTAAAAATTATATTACAAAAAAAAAAAAAAAACTTAATTTTCAAAATTTCATTAAAAAATTTTGGTTTGTAAAAAAATTATTTTAACTGCAAAATCTTATAATTAAGACGGTAATTAAAAGCTTTTACTATTACAAAATGTATTTTTATTAATTTTTCTTGTATTTCTTTGAGCTCAAACATGGCTTATATTTACTAGTTTTATGTGTATTTACATTTACATAATCATTTTTCTGAATTGAATTTTTTTATTATTAATATTACAATACAATTTAATTATTATAATACGAGTAGGGTCAGGAGGGGTAAATGTGAATAGTGGTAATTGTAAATGAGGCACCGATAATCAATGTGTCCACATTGCGACGGGATGTATTTATTACATGTTTAGTTCGTATTTGTTCCGTATCATCGAGTAGTGGAAATTCTCAATAGATTATTTATTTTTAAAACTTAATTGCACAGACGGTGGCAGATCCACATAATCCCAATTCCACAATATTATATCGATTATAACATTGCATTTACGATAAAACGATATTTTGAAAAAAATACAAGTCCAAAAAAAAATTATAACGTTCATAGTCGCGTGGGGGTCAATATGACCCATTTCAACTTTGATGGATATTTTAAGTCATACATTTTTTTTTCGAAGGTATTTATTTATGAAAATCTATTCAATATTACTATAAAAACCATCTTCTAAATTTATATCTATGTACACCTTTTATGCAATATAATACATCCGTTTTTATTTATGTGGGGGGATGCTAGACCCCCACGCAACTGTTTAAGGGTTAACAGGACTTAATGTGGAAAAAATACTTAGGGGAATTTTAATCACAAATTATTGTGAGCGTTCTACGTATCTATGAATAGTCTTACAGAGGGTTAGTCATAGATATAGGGCACTCTTCCTTTAAAGATTACAATTTGAGGCATAATAAAAAAGTGGTATACTTAATAAAAATATATTTATTGTACAATAATAATCGATCCATATTCGGACTCGTATACAATAACTGTATAATACAGTGTAGCCAATATAAAAGTTTAGAGTCGTTCGATAAGAGCTGTAGTTGTTTACATTTTTAATGTGCAAACTTTTTATCATTTATGTAAAAAAGATAAGAAGGATAACATTACAGGCGTCAAATAGTAAATAAGTGGAGCCGGCTTATTTGTAACAGACACTTATTTATTTTAAATAATCCCTCTCTAAAACGCCATGCATTATACTTATATTAGCATACTAATTTTTTACTCTGAAATAATAAAGACTAATTACCTACGACTAATGTAAAAAGTTTTGAGTAACTTACATGCTAAGGAAACAAAGTGAGAAAAATTCGTTGCGATATTTGGTATTTGATTTTTTTAGCTTTTTGAAACAATCGCACCGACTTACACTATTTTGCGTACTTATCTATTAACAAAAACTTCTCCAATCATCAATTCCAAATTTTGGAAAAAGATAACATGTGAGTACACCTTATTTTTAATTATAATTATTACTTAATTTTTACTGATGTGTGATAGTAAGGGTAAATAATCAACCAATTTATTAGAATGTAGAGCATTCACGTGACATGGGTCAATTTTTAAACAATTTTTCGTTACTTTATTTTATTTTATATCTATAGTTTTTTAATTTTTAAAAAGATCAACAAATTTTCATCATTTTGATGTCAATTAGTGTCGATTATTGTGTTACAATAACAAAATATTTTATAGTAGTCTATGATGATCTCAATTGAGCGTTAGTATTTACTACTACCATTAAAAAGTAATTATAATATTTACACTTTAAAAAAAAACTTTAACGTATTTTAGTTAATTAGAAAAATATTTTAACTTCTGTGCTTATGTGCTATGCCTAAATTGACAAAATGAAATAATTACTTACAAATATTTTTGTATTATGTTAAAAAAAGCAAAAAGGTATTTATTTAAATTAAATTAAAAATTTCGGAATATCATTAAAATTACATTGAGATTTGTGCAATTTTCAAGAGAATTTAGAAAAATAAAATAACTTTGCAAATTTCAACGGATATTTTACAGCAACGGTCAAATATTTATAAAAAAAATTCCAAAACGATTTTTTTTTTGTTTAATCTTATAATTCATTTAAAAAGATTTTATTGGATTTAGTCTTGAATCGTGTAGATTTCCTGACACTATGCAATACAACACAAAAATTGGCTATTTTTACGAAAATTGTTTGATTTTTGGATAAATCATTAAAATTAATTTTTTGGACATTTTTTTTTTTATCTTCAAGTGTATTGTTGTAGTTTTAATTTAAAATAGATTTTTTAAAATATCAACAAAAATTACACAAACAAAGTTGTTATATGGTGTTAAACCCCTTCCTAATTTATGTTTTAATTTCCAAAAAAGTAATGGGGATTTTACTAAATTGTGGCTATAAAAGTTTCAAGTAGGTACGATTTGTGATCTTTAGACGTAACCTTGAGCTAAATTGGTATAATAAGAGCGGAGTATTTACATTGACAGCCATAAAAAAAGACGACATAGCAAAACAAATACCCTTTTAGCTATGCATCCAAGTTAAAACTTAAGTAAAATTTGAGTGGTGAATAAATTGTGTCTCAAATTTGTTATGCAATTAGTAGTTTAAATAATTTAAATATTTTTCATTTTNCGACATAGCAAAACAAATACCCTTTTAGCTATGCATCCAAGTTAAATATTAGTAAAATTTGAGTGGTGAATAAATTGTGTCTCAAATTTGTTATGCAATTAGTAGTTTAAATAATTTAAATATTTTTCATTTTAATCTTGTTGAGAATTAGGATGATTCTAATAAACGTATTGCGTAATTTTTGAACATGTCAATTATATTATTATAATAGTTCATGAATATTAACATTTTAATGGTTTCATTAGTTTGTATAATACTTACAGTTATATTAACATTAGATTACTTATTTCCTTTATCGAATAAACATAAATGATTGTAATACATTACTGAACATTGAATATTATTTGTATTTTAATTTTTGGTACCCTACTAGTATATAATACTCAATTCTCAACAGTGATTTTAATCACCATCAGATACTTGTCTTTTTTAATTTGAATGTTCAAAAATATAATGGTTTAAACTCTATAATTCATATAGCTTGATAGGAAAGATCAAAAACTTGTGTAAACAACTTTTTCATGGCGATTATTAAAATAGTTCAAAACTAACAAAATTTGTATAAGTATTTTTTTTTTTTAAGTTTAGTTATTTAAATTTCAATTGTTACTGTGTTCATGTTCTGTATTTGAGGAGTTACAGTAACATAATGAATTTGTACGATATATATTTTCCTTGTTAAAATTAGTCAACTATTTTAATTATATGTAAAGGTTGTCATAGCAAAATTTTAAGAACTTTTATAATGAAATTTTACATTATTTAAATGATTCATTTAAGAAAGTACAGTGTGTGTTTGAGCATTAAATAGTTTAAAAAAAAATACTGACAATGAAACTAATAATTGTTTGTTATTTATGAATGATATAAATATGAAATAGGTATTGGTAATTATATTATGACTAAAACATAACGAATTGAAAAACTAAAAATATCAATGACTGTCAATACATTAATAAGGGTAACGTTTGTTTCATAGCAACCGCGAAGCAAATACTTTAATAGGTGTGCCTTGTTGAAGTATAAAATAATTCACATTTGCGGATAAAAATAATTTTACAGTTTAAAGTTAACATTTTTTTCTACTTAATGAACGAACTGAAAAACGACGAAATAGTTAGCAATACTAAAAACTCAAATCAAAGTACAGAAAATAATCGGAGTATATTTTATGATCTATATAGAGTTGGACCTCCATACCCTAATAGTGAATTAGAAAAACGTCGGAAAATATTAAAGATAGTGAGAGCTAAATCGGATGATAGGAGGAATATAATATACCCGTATTGTCGACACTCAAAAGATAAGCCACTACATGAAGTATTCAAAGAAATTATGAACAGGGATATTTTTGCAATGCGAGCAAATGAAACAGAAATCATTGAAGAGTACCCCAAGTGGCAAGTAAACGATCATAAATTGGAGAATATTATAGATCCATCTAAAATTAATACTACGCAAAAGACTTTGGTTGAACAACAAAAGGATAAATCTATTAAAGATGGAAATAACTCTTCAAACTATGATAAAGAAATGTTGAATAATAAGCTTAAAAACAATTCAAAAGAGCCAAAAAACATACAGAATAATACTATTAGACGGCCTTATATAAGATTAACATACAAAAACGAAAAGATACCAACTAAAGACTTAAAACCTAAAAAATTAAAAAAGTAATTATATAATATAGAACGAATAATCAAAAATTTGTTATTAAAAATTCGTTTGTTACAAAATTATGAAAAAAAAAAATTAAATAGATATAATTATCACGAACTTGCATTAACCTCATTATCTTATTTAAGTATTAAAATAGTTTTTTTAAATTAATATAATCGAATTTTTACAAAATAATTATAAAACTTATCATTATTTTTCTATATGACTTATTGACAAAAATACATTAAATAAATTTCATATTGGAATTAGTATCCGTTGAGCCTTTCTATACAAGCTAATTGTAATTTTTGATTTTGCTTAGTATTATTTATTCTTCAATATATAAGAGATTAAATATTTTTATTAATAAAGGTTTATTTCGTATCCTTTATGAAGGTGCCAACTTTATTTTAGCTTCGATGCAAAGCTGAATAGGTATTGGTTTTGAGTTGTGGGTTTTTTTATGTCTGTCCATGAAAATTCTTAGCTCTTACTAAACCGATTTTAATAAATAATACCACAAAACCTGACCCAATTTTAATTTAGCTGAACCTTTTAGTGCCGAAAATTTGAAAAAAAAAACTCCCTAAACTTTAGAAATTTAAAGATTTATGTCTTAACTACTATATTGTTAAGTATAGCTTTTTCAAAAAAAAAATTCTGCATTTTAAAACTACTATAAATTTTTTAAATCACTGAACCTAATGAAATTTTAACACAATAATGTGTCAGGATGTCTTTTCATTTATATAAAATTGATAAATTTTTTGATACGTTGTAGTATAACATTCAAAAAAAAATAATGTCGATTGTTTTTCTACGAGAAATAGGTCGTCAAGGTAATGAAATCGCAATTAAAAAAAAACATACTTTACTTACAATTAAACAAATAATTTAACAAAATTTTTTGTGAAATTTAAAAATACTTGAAAATTGTATAACTAATATTTAAATGGTGAAATTTAACAGATTACATTGAAGCGTTTTTTATGATTTTAATGATAATCATTATCAGATGTCATGTATACTTGTTTTAACTATGCTGTGACCCCATTGTGTTAAGGTTTTTTTTTAATCGAAACATACAAATTTAATCATAACTAAATATGAACGTTATACATTTTAATTCGTACGATAGAAAATGATCCAACTAAAAAAATGACCTGTCGATAACAACTTTTCAATGAGTATTTGAAAAGTTATTAAGATTTTTAAATGTAGACTGATGGTGAGGTGAGGATTATGTTATGTTAATCGTTATGCATTTGTTATACGCACTACTTTTCCCAACTATATATAAAATTATCCATAACTCCCGAACTAATGTTTTAAAAGTTAATATGGACTAGTCATTTTTAGTTTGATAATTTTCTATCGTATGAACTAGGTAAATATATATGTTGCCATTTAATAAATTAAGTTGATACCCTTCATCACTTATCTCTTATGAGGGATAAGTGATAAACCTAAAAAATATTTAACCACCTATAAATCAAAAAATGTTTTATATAATTTTTATTTTAAAAGAAATTTAGTGGTTAAAGATAATTTAATCAGCTTGTATAACTTAAAAATAAATAAATTATATAGTTTGTTCTTTACTTTATACATTGACAAGTAACTATACAACATATGCTGTCACATGAAAACAAGTTAATGGATTTCATAAAAGTAAAATACTTTTTCAAAACTGTTTTTTATATTCTATTTTATTTTATTCTCACTTATTACTGTCAAATTTTAAATTAGTATTTCAATTGTTTACTTTGTTACGAATTAGTTCATCTTACCATCACAAGTTATTAAATAAGATAGGTTTGATTAATAAGAGGTTTAAAAAATTAATTAGGGTGTTGTTTTAATAATTTTAAACGATGAATGCTGTTAAGTATAATATCCATTCATATTTATGATGGTAAGTATATTTTAAAATTATATTGTGAGATAACATCATAGTCACAGGTTATATTACATCTCTAGTTTTTAGTGATTAATAAATTATTCCGAGAGTACTTCATAGGATATACGTTTGATTTCAATCTGAAATCAAAATTATTTAGATTTACATTAGTCTATTATCTGCATATTTATGTTTGCAAAGAAACTATAACTATTCCCTAAAAACATATCAAAAGGATGTAATTTATTCTTTATGAATAAACATCATGAACTAAATTCACAGAAATACTCTAAGTCTGAGTAAATTAAATTTTTTTTTTTTTAAATTATTCAAGTCTTTTATAGATAATAATAATGAATAAATTAAAAATAGTAAGGTTCATTATACTGTTAATAAATCAATTTTATTTATCAAGATTGAAATCTGTATAATAATAGACATAAGTATAAATTTTATATTTCTATATAAATAATTACTTTACACGAATTTTCGAACTTTGTATATACAAACACCTTTACGGGAGTAATTTCTTATTATATAAATAGTAAATAAGTTATGAACTTATTTGACGAGAAATACTTGCATAAATAGTAAATAGATATTATTAAGTATAATAACTTTATCGAAGTTCATGAGAGAACAATTGAATGGAGACCTACTTTGTTTTTTTGATTGAGGTGTGTTTTTCCTACTTATTTATTATTTAACAATTTTGAGACTTTCTGTTTTTTAATTGTTCTTTATCTAATTACACAGACGCAAGATTAATTCTGAATTAGGAAGAAAATCAAATCTAATTCATAGCAATACTTATCGCGTGGCACACCTTTGACACGGGATCATAAAATAGGAAATACTATTGTTTCACTACGGCAATGCGCAGTATATTATTAACCGTTTAGACGACTTAAAATAGTGTCATGGCTAATGCTGAAGTTCCACATGTGCCCGTATTTATTGATGACGAAAATGTTGAGAAAGGATCAAGAGATGTAATAAAACAAATTAGACCTCACTGGGATTTTGAAGATACAAAGTTCAAGGTAATTTTATTTCTATCAATTTTTTACTAAATACAGGAATTTCTACTCTAGATCTAATAAATTTGACATATTAATTAGTTGTTTACAGATGGAATTACCAATAAATTGATTGGTTGGTTCTCTGGAGATGATGGCATACTTGTGCGAATTTATGGAAAAAATACTGATAGGCATATAGATCGAGAGGCTGAACTTAGGAATTTCAAAGTTTGTACTTTTTCAAAAGCAATCAAAATAGAATACAGGATATAATAAAGTTATTTCTAAAATTTCATTTCATCTATTGCGATGTTATTTTTATTGTTGTAAAATTGGTTCTTTTAAGTTCAATGACTTTAACTTAATGTGCTATAAAGTCAATATATTTCTATTTTTATTCCACAAAAAATGTAATCGATGAACTTGAATATATATTATTTAAATCGTAGGACACTTCAATTCCTTGTTTAATTTTGTAATTTACATCGAATTATTCTATATGAACAGTAGTAAAATAAATAATTTTAAAAAATTTCAATAATTTTAACAGTAAATATCACTATTTACTGATGATTATTTTAATTACTAGTAAAACAGCCAATGAGAAAGAATGTTTTTAAATCTGTCGATGGCATGATCAAAATTTTAATTATACAATATATACCTTATCTCTTGATTATAAAATTCTAGTTATTATTACAACTCTTAGGTTAAATGTTTTTTCATTATAACAATATATATATTGTGATAAATAGGTTTTTATATAATAATTATAAAAGTATAACACAAAAATGTGATTTATATGCATTTTTTTTTTAATTATGATAAGTGAAACTTTATATAGTAATAAAACATGTTATAACCTCAAAAATATTTTGAATTTATTATTAAATGATTTTTTTAGGAAATTAAAAAAAAAAATCACGACAGATTAATATAAAATAGTTCATTTTTCATTTATGTATAATATTGATATCATAATGACAATCTTTATTTAAGTTTTTAACCATTGTATTTTCTCAGTTTTAAACAATTAAAATGTTTAATATGTTTAGAAACATAGATACACAACAAAGTAAAAATATAATCTACAAATTGCATCACTGAAAAAAAATTTGTAGTTTGAATTTTAAATTGAAGCTGAGGAATGTTTTATGTAAAGTATTATTAAGTTCTCAACTATTATAACTCGAACATGTATATTATAAAAGAAAAAAATGTATTAAATTTTATTTACAATTCCACATTTTTTAAACAAATTTGTTGCCCACTTTAAGGGTGAATTATCGTTTTCAACTTGTTCACTATCTCTGCAAATATTTTACAGTTAGCTGGCACTTTTTCAAGAAATTTCCTAATTGTTCCTCGTGATAATTTACTGAACGACGATAAAGTCGAATCTTCATAATAAGTAGTTTATTGTAAACGAGAAACTTGGAAATAAGTTAACCTAAATCAAATAATTGTCCTTTAGGTTAATATCTTGATTGATGTTTTTGACCATATAGATGGCAAAAATTTCAAGTATTAAGTTTCAATCAGTATTGTATTGTATTTACTGACTAACTACATTGTTTGAAAATTAGATCTTATATTACGCCGGTCACGCTCCTGACTTATACGCTACATTCGAAAATGGTATCATTTACAAGTTTATTGAAGGCGAAACGCTGGACACTGTGACAGTAAGAGAACCAAGTATTTATCGAATGGTTGCCAAAGAAATGGCAAAGTTTCATAAATTAGATATTGGTGATCCTTGGACGACCAAGCCTCAAATATGGAATAAAATAGATCTTTACTTAAAACTCATCCCGGACACTCTCAGCTCAACTACAAAAGATGCTCGGTTTGTAACTAGAAATTAATTTTTACTTAATTATCTATTGGAAAATGAATTTTATGTAAATACGGCTTTGTCTAGGTTTAAGAAGGCATTCCCTTACGGTGTTCAAGGTTTACGGTCTGAAATTGAAGCCGTGAAACTAGTAGTAGAAAAAATTAAAAGTCCTACAGTATTTAGTCATAATGATTTGCTTTTATCCAATATTATAGTACAGAGAAATTCATCAGGAAGACCAATAAAGATCTCGTTTATAGATTACGAATATTCTATGCCAAATTGTCAAGCGTTTGACATAGCAAATCATTTTATAGAATTCGCTGGTATGCATAATACTATCCATTGACATCCACTTGACCTAAGGAAAATATATTTTTATTCTGTATTTATCTTAATATAGGGGTTCAAGATCCTGATTTTTCATTATATCCTGGGGAAAAGATGCAATTAGATTGGTTGCGAAATTATTTAGAAGAATACCTTGAAAAACCATTGATGTTGAACGACCCTGAAATAAAAATTCTTAAGCATCATGTTGATATATTCGTAAATGTTTCACATTTACTTTGGATTCCGTGGAGTATAGTACAAGCCGAGTACTCTAAGATTGATTTCGATTACATCGGGTAAAAATATATTATGTTTAAAATCAAAATGTTTTTCCCTATTAAATTTTTAAAAATATTTACACAATATATTTAATATATTATAATTTACAGATATGCTGAATCTAGATACAATGAATTCAAAATTTCAAAAAGAAAAATTAAAGAAAACACAAATTGAGTTTTGTATTTCATCATTTCAGTATAAACTTTTTATATTCTGTTAGTGGTGGCTTTCTTGAAAACTCAATTTTATCGTGCCAATTTTTTTTGATGTAATCATCATTATGAATTTCTAATTATATTACTATAGTTACCATTGTGATTTATCTTTTATGATTTATATCATTAGATATTTACAAATATTCGTTTTATTTTTAAACTTATAAAAAGTATATATGATATATTCATATTCTAATAATAGCAAACTATATTCTGATTGATATCTTGCTTATATTTATGTATTTCATAGAAAATAAAATGAGATGCAACATATTAGTTGTTCAATTTTTATATTTATTTTTTCAATATATTCGTTGTATTCATTATTTTTTCTTTATGAAGAATTATTATCATAGATTTATTTTATTAATTCAAAAACAAAATATAATAAGTATTACCAATATATTTTTGTAAAAATCACATAGCAGGCCTATGTTTTCAACTTCAATAATTTGTGTATAATAATCGAATTGTGCTAATTTAATGAACAATAATAATACTACAAAAGAAATATATAACAAGAATCATGAAAGTAAAAATTTATAAACCATTTATGGTATTTAAATGATGAGTGTGCTGTGTTTTCTTTATTTGACGATCGACTTGACATTAATACTAAACAGTGAATGGTAAAAAATATATTAAAAGGTTATGAACAGAGCACGAATGAAGAGCCAGAAGAAAATGAAGATTCAAATAAAAAAAATATGAAGATTTATCAGATTTTCTAGAAAAAGATTTTCCTTTTTCGTTGCTCAGCAACAATTCATGAAAATTATTTGAGCGATTTAAATTAAAATTCAAGTTTTTATATGAAGATCCTACCACATGGGAAATAAATAATGAATACAATAACGCCAAAGAAATATTATCCTCGATAAAAATAGTAAACGACATGGCAGAACGTGGCGTAAAACTCATGGAAGAATTCAACGACAAATTTACAAGGGATGAAAATCAAAAGCAATTTATATTACATGAAATTATATAATAATACTGCAAAATTTTTTATTTTAAATTACTATAGTTGTATTATAACCTTTACTTTTGAGTATTTTAGGTGGTTCAACAATATCGCCAGCTGTATCCCAGATGTAACCGAGAAATTTTGAATGAAAAATATTCAAATTAGAAAAACTATTATTGTGATAAAGAATTATTATTTTATTGTGTTTCTTGTTTTTTTTTTATTTAATATAACTAAGAAAATTTTTTAATTTATGAACAAAAAAACACACATGCAAAAAAAATTAAAAAAAAAACACGTTTTCGTAGTTGTTTTAAATTTTTATTTGGAAAGGATTCATAATTCGAAAAAAACTCAAATAATCTTTTTTATAGAAGATATCACGGTGATTAATATTACTTCTGTACAATTTCTGCGTATAATTAAAATTTAAGACACTGGAAAAGTATAACTGAAAACTATGTCATTTTTTTTTAAAAATTAAGTGAAACTGATTTTTCTTATTTTTACGACAAAATATTAATTTTACAAAAAAATAATATATTACTTTATTTTTTGTTCACATTGAGTCCTATAAAAATTATTCTTTGTTTTTGGCGAAACTTAAAAAATAAAGAGCGTACACTCAAAAAAAGAAAATCCACCCCATTTTTGAAGAACTTCAACTTATTGAAAATGAACTTAAGTACTTATTGTACTCAAATTTTACCAGTTTCATTTTTTCAGTGAACCTAACGAAATTTTGAGCCCATGACTCTGAATTTATGAAGTTGAAAAATAAGGACCACCTTAATATATATATATATAAAAGATTAAAATAAAATTGAACTCAGAATAAATTTTCACCTTCACTTTTAGGTCTTGATAGTCGAGACGAATGCAAAAGGGAATGTGGATTATAGTAATACGCCGACAGACTACTGACGACAATTTTGTAGTTGTTTATCTGGAAACATATTTTAATTAAATTATTTTTATGGGAGATCTCGATTATCAATAGGCTTTTGCGATTAATATTTTTAAAATGCCATACAATTTACAATGAAACCCAGTTATGTATAATATAAAGATTAAGTATCCATGCATTTGAATAACTATCTACACATTTTAAAGTACATTATAGTGACTAAATTATAAAAGTTACATTTTTAAAATAATATAAGTGTACAATATTGGATACAAAATATTTGTAATAATTTAAATATAAGGATTATGGATATTACAACACATGTAATACCTATAAAAATTGTAAAATTTATTTATTCTTGTTAAATTTAATATTTATTACATTAATCTCAGAATTGAAAAATATCAAACAAATTAATTTAAGTGAGCGTTCGATTCATTATCAAGAATAATAATAAGAAAAAATTATTGTTTCGCTCAATTGAGTAGATATTTTTAACAACTTTTTTTTTTATTGGTTTTTTGACTTAAAGTAAATTTTTAAAATTAATTCACTTTTGTATATTTCAATTATAGAAACTTTTTAAACACCAAAAGTTAATTAGAAATGATTACTATGATTTCTATTTAAGTGATCCGTTACGATAAAAATGCAAAAAAAAATCGAGCTTTTCTGATAAATTTACTGTAAATAGTAGTTATAAAATTTTCTGACAACATATTAATCTTAACAATACCATTTTTTTCTATTTAATGATGCCAATTTTAATCTTACAAGTTGAGCTAAAAGTTATGGTAATAAATTCATTTTTTTTTATTATAAACTTTCATTTTAAAGAAAAAAAATAAGTAGGTTAAAAATGATTACATTTAACATATTAAAAATCAATAATAATTTGAAAACAATTAACTATGAAAATTATATAATATATAATTAAAAAATTATATATTATATTTTTGAATCTGAGAATTACTAATCTGGATATAATTAAGGAAATAGAAGTTGATGTTGCTTTTGTAATTATCTACAACTTTCACAGAATTAAACACTATTTACAAATTTGCTTCGTAGTTGCTTCAAAGGTTAAATTTGACAACAAATATATTATATTTAATAAAACTGTCAGTTGAGAAATTTTTCAGATCAACATTTCTATTATTTTTTTTTTAATTAAGCCGCTTATTTTCAGCGATCGCATGTTATTATAAAATTTAAAACACTGAGGGTTGCTATTTTTCACAAATCGCATAAAATATATATCCTATAAAATAAATTACTTCTTGACATCAATACATTGATTGAATAGTAAATAGATAGGAGTTTTACGTAATGTATACAAATAAAATAAATAATTTTAAATATCTTGCTTTAATGTTATTAATCTTCGTAAAAAAAAAATTTGAGCATTAAATACTTTTTCAACACATTAATCAAGTTTTAGTAGTGATCAAGTTTCGATAATAAAAGTCGTACACACAGTTCATATTAACGGTTTTAAAACAAAAATTATGATAACAATATTTTTTTAAACCATGACAAAATAGATTTATTTCGTCATTTAATATTGATTATTGATCGTGTCTTTTATTTTTGTAATAATTAAATCGTTCAAATTTAAATATAAATATTTTTTTTAAGTAATATCAATAATAGGTAACGTTTCATTTTCAACGGGTTGTACACACTTCAAAACATACAAAGTTGTCTAGGTAAATTTGTAATATTTTTAGTGGCAATGCAAACTAGAATAACCGAAATTTAGCTGAACAATTATATAAATTTTATACAAAATCAAAGACAGAATGTATAATGCTTTTTTAGAATTTTTTTAATTTATATTTACAAATTAATAATTAAAACTTGCTTTAATTTCTGAAGGAAATATAAAGTTAATTTAATCAGCAATACTCTCAGAAAGCTTTACTGACATGGTATAGTTATTTGAGAATAAATAGTAAAAAAAAAAACGATAACACAATTAGGTAGCGGCACAGTATGGATGTGGGATAGTTGGGACAAGTATAGATTACATTTTACAGTGATTAAAATCACTATCATAAGAAATGCTTCGATGGAAATCTGTAAATAATATTTAATTTTAAGAAATTGGTGGATTATTCCAAAAGCAGAATGAACTCTTATTTCCTTCATTATTCCTAATTAGCAGTTCTATGATATATAAGTATGATATATGAATAAACACTAATTATAGTAATTAAATATAGTATGAAATTGATATTTAATAATTTTGCAAGTGGGCTTTTTTATTAATAATTCGGCCTGTAACAACAATGTGGTTTGCCACTTGCATAACGACTAGCTATAGTAGCAAGGGTGGCCACCACCTAGGCGAGGTGTCACACCTATCAGATATGATTACCGGACCATAGGTGAAATTTAATTTTAAGTTAATTAAAAGTATAATCTAAGTTAATATGTCGTTATATGTATAAATTACTATAATGCCTCGTGGTTTATAGAACACAATTATGACAATCAAAGTTGTATATGGTTGATATGTAAAACATACCGTAGCCCGTGTCTAGATTAAGGAATAGGGATAAATACACGCGAGTAATTAAGTACTCGCGCAATAAAATAAATATTACGGTTGAAATTAATAAGGAAATTTAATTTAATTGGTAAAAAAAAGAAAATTAAGTTAAACATGGACAAAAATGCGAATGCATCAAAAACCATGTCTACAAATAAAGGCAACAAAAATAAAATAAAATATTTAAACAAAACAAACGAATAATATTACAAACATCACGGACGGTATTGGAACACATCCGTTAATGTTAATCGGAAATTAATGAAGAACACCAGTAGCGGTCTGGACACTCGCTCCTTAGCGTTGGCTAGAAGAAAAGGGAAACACGTGCTCTCCACACATAAACCAAATTAAGTTAATTTACGATAAAATAAAAATGAAATAAAGTAATTAATCAAATATAGCTCATTACATAAATATAATATAAAGACCCATCCGATGGTCTGGATGCTTCGCCGAAAAGACCTGGCCATTCGCCGTTGACGGCTCTACTCCATCATTGAAAAAAAGAGTGTCAATAAAACAACAAATGTGTGCACCCTAGCACGGTCAATGACAGAAGAAAGAATAGAGAAGAGTCAACACCGATCTAACGGCAATTTCAAATCGATAACGGCCAGTCTTTTTGGAAGGGATCAATACTGATAAACAATTCGATTTTAATTATATTTCTCTTTTATCGCCTTATCTAGCGGTCAGCGGTAAAATAATGAGTGGTTGACACCGCTGTGTCAGAAAAAGGTTCTTTCGCGCGATAAAATAAATAAGTAGACATAACAAAAAATCATAAACGGTCCACCTTCGAATTTGTGACGTTACAATTTATTATTGAAATTTTTACGGAGAAATTATCAAACAATTATAAAGTAGTTACTTTTTAGGCAAACGCGTATAAAAATTTTATGGCTTGATACAAAACTTTTCATTTGTTGTTGATTATAAATAAATGGTCTAGAAAGAATTTTCATCAGGATCCAATCTAATCTGCAATTAGATTTTTTCCATCGCCACTAGTTTTTGATATTATTAATAATTAGTTAAAAACGAGTATTAACATATAAAAAAATTAATATCTTCTCAGCTTTGCATCGAAACTAAAATTGGTGTAAAATATTATGTCAATACAAAAAACGGTGACTTTTTACACCAAAGTAATATTTTTTTTATTACATATAAAAGGCAAGTCATCGGGACAAATTTTTTTGTTTTTAATTATAGCGCGTAACATAAGCTTTGATTTAACATATGTTTAAAGGACCAAGTATTTTCGGAACATTTTCAAAAGTTAATTTGAAAAAGATAAATTTTTGTGTAAAAGATGCTATTTTGAATCCCGTCCTGTAAAGGAAGTAAAGGGTCAGATTTTGAAAAAATGTATATTAAACAAAAGTAAAATACCTAAGGTTTCAATTAAAAAAATAACTATTTTAATTGGTTCATTTTTTAATAAGTTATGGCAGTTTTAAGTATTAAATATTTTATGTTAAACAGTTTGATATATATTTTAAGTTCGGAATAATTCCGGAACATTTTCATAACTTTGAAATAGTTAAATATTTATACAAAAGATACTATTTTACCCCCCAGTGGTCTAGTAAGGGTCAAATTTTCAAAAATTGATATTAAATGAATGGAGAATATCGAAGGTTTCAGTATAAAAAGAATTATTTTGATTCGTTCATTTTAGAAAAAAAAATGTCGAAATTTACCGATTTTAAAAATAGTAATTTATTGGAGGAGTTTCACTATTTATGGGGAACAAGGGAAAATTTTTTAATTTTTGTGGATAATGTCGTCAACTAGATACGGTCTTTTGATGTATCTTTGAGAGAAATCGGTACAATGAGAGCGAGAAAAAGTAGTGACAGACACAAAAAAAATAAAAAATAAATAAATACATCATGATAAAATTAATACCCTCTCAGTTTCGTATCGAAGCTAAAAACTGCACAGCATCACAAAACCAATATCTTTTTAGTTTTCCATAAAAACTAACAAAAACAATCAAAAAGTAAAAAAAAATATACACAATTAAGCGCATTTGAAAAACTGCAATAATCAATTATTAAATTCATATAAAACCCAAAATCATTTTTTTAGGATGATTTATATAGTAAAAGTTTATCAAAAAATTGGTAGAATGACAGATGAACACATATATAAAGTTAAAAAATTAATAAATAACAAAGTAAAATTATTCAACTTTGTAGTTGAAATCTGTTACATTAAACCTAAATTGACAGTAAATACTTTAAAAATATTAGAAATAAATGATTTTAATTGTCTGTACAAAGAAAGCTGGTTAAGTAAATTTTTATTTGATATCATTTTTTATTTTTGAGGGAAAGGTCGTCAACTAGATACAATTTGTGATGTTATAACGTATCTTTGAGAAAAATTAATGACAGATATAAAAAATAACCATATAGTAAAATATTCTAATTATAAATTCTTATATATAATATAAGAATTTATTATTTATTATTCTTATATATAATATGAAATTAAACATTAAATAATCATATGAAATTACTTCTCACAAAGGGAGACTACAGTGGTGGAGTCCTCGATATTCATTGAAGTTATGCATTCAAAATGAGATAAAAATCTCATTATCTGCTGGGTTCATACCAATTTTAATTAAAAGTTTGTTTTCAAATGATAGTGATTTAAATAAATGTTTAACCTGCAAATCTTATTTGAAGTTTTTTAGGTAGCGTTAATGTAACATTGTGTCTAGATGAAATACTCGTGCATATGTTTTAAATTCATTAAGTTTACCTCCAAACCTAAAGCATCAAAAATGTCTCAGTGTCCCTTACTCTTTAATTATTTTTGGATAATGCACCATCAAAACATCAGCCATTTTATTTTTTCAAATAACGATTTATTCAAAAAATCTTCATTTTTTTGTCGTAATAATTAAATATTTTTCAATAATTAAATCTGTATCATATTTTCATATTGATAAAAATTCCAACATTAATAAATTATTATTTATCAATCTGATAAATTTTTCCTTGTCATAAACAATAATTATTTATAAGACTAATTATTTTGTTCGTATTAATAATGAATTTCTGTAAGATGAAAACGAAGTAAGATGACAAGATTAAGCTTATACGACTTTTCATGACTTCTGTGAATGGATTTAATATCTGAAATTTGCATGTGAGCTTCATCTATATCTAGTTTAATACTAAAAAATGTTTTTTTCATCTTATCAAGAGCAAAATGCGAGGTTGATTGAAAATTTTCATTTTTATCGTCTCTTCCCTGCTATGAAGTATGATACGAAAACGATTGTAAAACTTTGTAACCAAATCTATTAAAAATAAATGTGAGGTATATTAAACTTCTATTAGTACTTTTAAAATATTTAGTTTAAAAATTTACCTTAGCTAACTAATATTTTAATACTTGAAAAATAACATTAAAATACACTAAACATGATTTTCTATCCACAGTTAAAATTAATCTGCGTTCACGTGTGTCAATAATAGTGAGTACAAAGTAAAAAGTGTATCGTAAAGGGCTTTTATGATAGTAAGGTTCTGTTCTTATAAGTGAAATATTAAAAATACAATATTAAATTCGTTATTTTACCCTAAATGTGATTGACCGACTATTTAGTATTGTACTGAAATACAAGACCCCTAAAATTTAAAATAATATTAAAAATATATGATGGTAGCCTGTAGAGTTCTTAGAATTATTGAAATATTCTAAAATCGTAATGAAGGCTGTGGTCTTGAACGTTAATCATAGAACTATGTAGTATTTTATAACAAAAGTAAATAACTTCAAATAAATTTTTTAGAACATCCTAAGAAAACGTACTGATAAAAAAAATTGTCATAGCTTTAAAATTTTACTTCTATATGACCTTAAATATCATTGTTTATTTATTTTAATTTTTATTATAAAATATGTCTTAATATTATTTATAGTTTTATCAGCTGATACAACGATTAGTGATAATACATATGATAGCGTTAAAAAGTAATTGTAATTCAGAATTATGAGTCGAATGTGTGGAGCAATCCCTGGATTGTAGTTTTTCAAGTTACTCAACTTATAACTGTGTTTGACAAATTGTTTTTTTTCTAGTGTTTTGTGTAATTAATTGTTTTGCTATTGTTTAATAGCTGACTTGGTATTTTTACTCTATTGTTATGTGGGTCGAACTAGTTTTGAATGGCGTTTCAAACACTAGTTAAATAATGTAGGCGTTTGATTTCATGTACCTATTATAGTTATTTGGCAGTGTTCTACCTACATTATGTTGGAGTAAAATATTCGTTGGTATAACTGAATATTTAATTTGTTTTTCTTATCCTTAATCATCAATATGTCAGTAACTATTCAGCAGATACTGTCAGATGCTAAACGTCTCGCCTCCAAATTAAAAGAAGATGATTCACACGCAGATGCATTACTCACTCAAACTCAATTTGTTTATAAAAAAATTGATGCTATGAAACAGGTCAGCAAAAGTATAGTACTTTCTGTAATAAAAAAATATTTATTATTAAAAATCAACTTTAAATTTAAAGCAATCAGTCAAGACATAATATCACTGTTATAAATATTGAATAGATGATATGTATTTGTGATTTAATTCATATGTTATTGTTTTATCTTTGCTAAATTTATTTACAAAGATTGATCTATAAATTTTAGAATGATCAAGTATTTTTTTAATTTTCATTAAATTGAAGTCTACATTCAATAATATTTCAATATATGTTTAATTATGATTATTTTAGCTTTTATCTAACATATACTTTTACTCTAATAATTTTATTCTTTAAGTTATCTGATAAAATTGTATATTATATTCTTTGTTATATAATTTAAAAGTTAAATTATAATTTTAGTATACCGATGATTTAACTGAATTGAATGATATGGAAGAAGGAAGTATACCTCATGAAGATATAGTGAATTCCATTCGAACTGAAAGTCGGCAGCTTCAAGAAATAGTACGAGAAAATAAAATATTAAGAGCAATGGTAACTGAACATCAAACTGCACTTGAAATGATTATGAGCAAGTATCGATCACAAGTTTCTCAGTTAATCACACAAACAAAAGCAGATAGATTAATGACTGATCTCACAGCCAAAGTAAAATCTAGCTGTTTATATAAACTTTCTTTAAGGTTTAAATTCTTTAGTTGTTTTATATGCATTACTTTTTTCTATAGACAATTGAAGAAAAGAATGAGCTAATAATTCAACAGGAAGAACGCATTAAAGAAATGATAGCTGTAATGAGTCTTGCTTCACGATTAGAAGATGAAGAAGCTAGTAAAAAAGAAGAAACTATTAGAAGACTACAAACAGAAAACCAAGTATAAAAAAAGTTTTTTTTATTAAAAAATAATTCTTATAATAATATCTTCCAACTCTTACTTTTTATTAATATTTGACAGTTGATTTTTTCAACTATTTTATTCAACTAATCTTCCAGGGTTTCATAAACATCTTGAATTTTTTTCAATTGTTTTTAGTTTAGTTTATTTGGTGAAAACACCTAGGTGGGCTCAAGTACAGTGACAATAAATATATAATAAACATTGTTGAAATAAGATATATGTTACAATAATAGTATTAATTAAGTACATAATATTAAAATAAATTTACCAAAAAAGAAAGGGGATTTAATGATATTCATCAGGCTACTAAAATTAGTGTTTTATTTAATTTTATTTAATAATTTAAATTTATTGCACTCTCTGGCTATTCGATCAACAGGGTTATTAAAACCGTAAGATGTGGGACAATAACGTGAATGAAATTTAGGAACATGAAAGTTTATGGATTGCAATAGTTCTGGACATGATATAACACCATTTACTAATTTAGAAAGAAAGCAGACGTCTGTATATTTTCACCTATTAACAAGGGAATCTAAGTTAAGGGAAGCCTGTATAGAATTAAGTGATATTGATTCAGAAGGGTTATTAATAGAATTCATACGTCTCTTATATGTGATTAAACGTAAAAATCTTCTTTGTACACGTTCAAGCTATTCTATCAATCTGACTTGTGAAGGATTCCAAATAATTGAGCAATATTCCAACGTAGGTCTAACTAAAGAAGTATACAACATTTTTAGACACTGTTCGTTCTTGAATTCTTTGGTATTCATAATTAAGAACCCTAGAGTTCTTAGGGACTTCACACAGATATGATCAATGTGTGGCTGAAATGATAAGTTGGTTTTAAAAACTACCCCAAGATCTCTAATGGTACTAATATCCTCAATTTGATTATCAAAGAGATGATAGTCATTAATTAATTTCGTTCTTGAATGGGAAAAAGACATTTTGAAACGTTTTGTGATGTTCAGTTTTAACCCATTTGAGTGGCACTAATCACAAAATCTGTTTAGATCTTCTTGAATTTTATACTGATCAATAATTGTTATAACATTTGCATACATTTTGAGATCATCAGCAAATAGTTGATACTTACAGTATTTAAAGCATGCACCTATGTCCAGAATAAATAATGCAAACAACAGTGGTGATAAATGCCCCCCTTGAGGAACACCTGAAGGCACTGGTATTTTATTTGATAGAAAATCATTAATTTTCACCTGTTGGAATCTATTCTCTAAGTAAGAACTAAACCAAGTTAACAATTGATCAGTTATTCCATACGTTTTTAATTTTTCAATCAACACTGTATGGTTTACCGAATTGAAAGCCTTGCTGAAATCTGTGTAACTAACGTCCATCTGAATTCCGTATTCCATGGAATTTACCAAGAAATTGTAAAAACAGAGAAGATTAGTTTCCATTGATCGCCCTTTCCTACAACCATGTTGGTTATTATCTAAAATGGTTTTGAATGAAAATGTTAATACATTTATCACTAATTTATCTAACAATTTAGTTAAAGTTGATTGTTTTGCAATCGGTCTGTAATTTATTATCAAACTTTTGTTACCAGACTTATAAATAGGTGTAATAAAACTGGTTTTCCAATGGGAATGGAGAATGCCAACAATTAAAGAATGATTAAATAATCTTCATATGGGAACAGATAACGAGAAGATACATGACCATAATAAAATATTGGGATATCATCTGGACCCGGATTTAAATCTAAAGAATTAATGGTTTCAAAGATCTTAATAACAGTGAATTTAATATATGGTTTTGTCACCAATTACAGCTATTACTTTGTAAGAGAAGGCTAACCATGTATATTATGGTTTAAGTCTGTTGCGTTTGAGAGGTGTGGTAACTTCAATTTCTTAACTGATTTCTCTTTCACAAAAAATATAACTGTCAACATTTATATCCATCAAGCACTTGTGTAAATCTATCATTACTATATTCTATATTTATACTATGTTACAATATGATTTTAAACATTTTGTCTGGCTTAAATAAAAAAAGTACTATATTAATATATTTCAAAAGTAAATCTTGTTTTATGAACTTTGTAAATATGATTTTATAATAGTGATGATTTCTCTTCAATTTTTGATAGAATTACAGCAACTAAATTAATCCCTATGATACAAAATTGATATTTATGTAAAAGGATATAAGAAACATTTTCATTCTATTTCAGAAAGGAATATATTAATTATGCTTTACATAATAGCTGTTTGAATAGTTATGTATATGCCATATAAATTATTTTCTTTTTTGTTCCTTTTGTGGCATATGAGCAGTAATAGGTTCTCTAAATATATTTTTAATGGATATCATTTACATTTAATTTTAAGTATTTAACATGAAATTAAAAAATGGTGATTTAATCAAATGTTTTTTTGTCAATAAAACATACTTGAGTTTATATTATATCAAAAATCATGGAAAAAAATTTATAAGATTTTTTAGAAGAAATTTAATTCCAGTATCTCGTTTTTGTAAGAACTTTTGTTTATGCTTATTTATTTATGAAACCTTGACATTCCTCTTTTAAGTAGAAGTATTTTTAAAAGTTTTGAAAAATTTGTTTAAAAATTAATAGTTATAACTAGTTATTTTTAAAAATTTTGATACATAAATAAATAATAATTTGCATTTATAAATCATTTTTTTAAATAGTTATTTTTTAGATATTTTAATGTCAATGTAATATCCTAGAATTAATAGTTTTTTGTTACTAACTTATAATTACATTTTTTCAGACATTAAGAAAACTGTTAAAAATCTCTAGTGACCTACCTTCAGATCAAAAACCAGAAAAGGTTTTGTCATCAACATAGATTTAGTACAAAATATTTTAATTTAACACAGTATTATTTTAATATTAATTTATATAGATTTCATAGTATAAAATAAAAATTGTAATTTATACTATAGCAGTTAAAAAAAAACAAAATTGAACACAAAATTATATTTAATTACAAATGGTTAAAATTCAGTTTCATATAACGTTATATAAGGAACTTATCATCATGAGTATTGTGATGGAAAACTAAATGAATGTGAGCCAATAGAACCAACAAGTGGCAATCCTCCAACATTAGGTACAATGTTATATGATAATGTTAAAGTAACATTTTTGTTGCCCCTAAAAAAAAATTATTTTCATATTTTAACAAAGATTATTTTCAACTAATTAACTTAAAGAATAGTTCACAAAAATAATATATATATATTTAAAACTAGGAAACAATATTTTTTTTGTACTTAGTCTTTAAAACTTTTCATTTATTGAAAAATCTATTTTTTGATTTAAATTATATGAATAAAGGTATATTTAAAAAAAATATATAATACTGTCTAATTAATTTCATAATAAGTTATTAAAATATTTAGAGTTGTAAGTATTAATTATTATAGAACTATAAATATTTGTTATTTATTTTATGGCAAAACTTTCGTTGTAAATAAATATATTACTTTAAATGAATTATTTGAGTTTAAACATTTTCTTACTTAAGACCGTTTCCATCATCCCAGAAATAATACTTTGTACGAATATTTTTTAAGTGTAAATCTGCATTTTCACCTCTTTTGATGATTCTGTCCCATAAAACCACCTAAAAATATTTATTAAACATAAAAACCCATATAGGTAAGTACTAAAGATATAAACTACCTGGTTAAGTTCATTGGCAGGAGTTTCATATTCTGCGGTTATGTAAACAAAGAGTTGTTTTACGTTCCAATTAAATATGCTAGATAGATGTATGTTGTAGTTAAAGAAATTCTGGATACTTTTTTAGATACATATTTGAATTTTAAACTACAAAAACCAAAAATAGGTTTTGAAACTTAAACATTCCTATGAATAATCAGGTTTCCTATAAATTTGTTGAAAATAACTTTGAAACAATAAATAAGTCAAAAGATTGTAAAATTGATTATGAAAATCTATCAATAATAAACTTAAATACCCCACTGTTTTAAACAATAATGTAAAAGCATTATTTTTTTGATAAAAAAAAATCTAATCATACGGAATTAATAAAATCTTTTGTAGTAAAAAATTATATAATTTCCCTAATATATTAAATTATACAATAAAATTAATAGATGATTAAGTCATTGAATTATGGAAAAAATGTATTGTTTTTAGCAAAATTATAAAAATATTACATAAGTTGTTTAAAAAAGGATATCTGCATCTACATTAAATGTGATGTGACCTAAGTCATTTAGTTTTCTTCCTACTCCATATTCTGGTAGGTTTTTGCTAGAAATCACATAATATTATTCTATGATTAGTTGAACTAGGAAAAATAATATTTCAATTTAGACTTACACTTCAACTTTTAATGTTTTCAATGTTGCTTCTTTTCTATAATCGATCATAATAGTGGATAAGAAACAAGCAAACGTTAAGGTAACTAGCACACTAAGCGTATACGCCAGCACCGCATTTCCACGAGACAACAAGGAATGCATTAAAAAGGTATATACTATTCTGTAATTGTTTTAAATAATTTTGCACTAGATTGCAGTAACTCGAACACTGCTTCAAATATAAGTAATCGAAGTAAAATAATACACTGAGTTCGTTGGAATACGTAAACGGTTTTGTAAAATGCGTTATCACTAATATAAGTGATAACAAATGTATGACGTGTGATACCGTTGTACGTTAATTTTGATTTAGTACATACGTATTATATTTCGCCCAAAAAATATACACGTGTAACATACATTTTTATATTTTAGAATTACAATTAAGTTGAGCGATAATAGTTTTCATACGATAACGTTAAATATTTATACGAAATTATGAAAAGCAAACATTTCTAATATAAATTACAGGACCTGATAATATTATCACTGTTAAACTAATAAAAATTGATCGAAATATAATGATAAGAATGTAGTATGAATTATACTTTTAAAGTTGTTGATAAATTTTACAGTTTCATTAACTTTTTATTAAATAAATAAAAATAATAATCTGTGTTGGATAAATCACTTATTTTTGGTAATTGAATTAAATTACAAATTATTTAATAGATTAAGAATTAACTATTTTTTTTACATTTTTCTAAAACTAAAAATTTTGAGTAATTAATTACTCAATGTAACAAGTGAAGAAGTTACATTACTTTTATGATAAAAAAGTAACTTAGTAACAATGGAAAATATATTTTTTTTTATATGTTAAGTATGAAATTTATTTGAGTTAAATCACTTATACCAGTAATAAAATAGTAATTTAAAATAGAAAAATTATAATTTTTTTTACTTTAATTTAAGTTGATATATATCAACTTCACGTGTGTTTCTTAAAAATAACAGCGTGTACAAAAATATATAGGAAGTAGTACAGAATTAATTTTTGAAATCATTTTAAAATATATCCATTTTCTTTATTTTAATTATAAAATAAAAAAAAGAACCCAGCACAGGGGGGTCGCGGCACAGTGGTGACGTGGCATAGTTGGATCAAGTATAATGTTATCTGACAGTGATTAAAATCACTATAAAAAATAAACGCTTCGATGCAAATCTTTAGATAGTGTTTAATTTAAAAAAAATTGGTGTTTTATTCCAAAAGCTACTTGATCTGCTGGTTCCTTATTAATATCTCGATAAAGATAAAGTATGTCAAATGAAAAAGGGTTTATTAAAAAATATTATTTCTCATAAAAAAATTGTGTGGATCNAAGCATTATTAAGTTAAAAATATTAAAAAAAATTATTTTACAAAAATCGTAATTTTTTATTAACTTTTATGTCAACTTTCACCACGAAGACAAGTCCAGAGGTCAAATTTTTTATTTTTTTCAAAATAAAGTATATTACATAAGCTTCAATTTAAGATATATATAAAAGTGTCAGACCTTCCGGAACACTTTCAAAAGTTAAGTTGAAAAAGTTCTACTTTCTATATGCATTTTTTATATTTGAAGCCCCCCCATATATAGGGAAATAGTCTGATTTAAAAAAAAAGTATATCCAATGAAAGATGTATATAAATACTACTTCTCATGAAAAAATTGTATTGATCCATACATTTTTTAAAAAGTTATAGCACTTTAAAGTAAAAAATGTCAATTATAAAATCGAAAATTTTCACACAAAAATAGCATTCGGTAGCCGTTTTCACCATGAAGACAAGTCCAGAGGTCAAATTTTTTTTTTCAAATTAAAGTATATTACATTAGCTTTAATTTAAGATACATATAAAAGTGTCAGACCTTCCGGAACATTTTCAAAAGTTAAGTTGAAAAAGTTGTCATTTTAAATCTTCCCCTGTGGGCAGAAAAAAGGTCAAATTTACAAAAAAAATATACCAAATGATAGGTAAAGACATCATGCATCTATATAAAAAAAAATTATATTGATATGTTCATTTTTGAAAAAGTAATGGCAGTTTTAAGAAAAAAAATTGAAAAAATCTCGAAAATTAACGATTTTTAAATTTGTAATTTTTTTGGAGGTTTCTCCCATTTACGTTGAACGAGGGAAATTTTTTCAATTTTGAAGGGTAATGTCTTCGACTAGATACAATTTGTGATCTTTTGACGTATCGTTGAAAAAAATCCGTTCGGTGAGAGCTGAGAAAAAGTGGTAACAGACACAAAAAAAGAAAAAAAAAAACACATCATAGTAAAACCAATACCTTCTCAGCTTCGCATCGAAGCTAAAATGTAGTAAATTATCAAATTGGATTAAATGAATCAAAAATGTAAAGGGTCAAATTTATAAAAAAAATATACAAAATAATAGGTAAATAACTCATGTATCTATAAAAAAAACTTATATCAATTTGGTCATTTTTAAAAAAGTTATGGCAGTTTTATGTAAAAAAAATTGAGAAAATTTTAAAAATTAGCGTTTTTTAAATTTGTAATTTTTTTGGAGATTTCTCCCAATTATGAGGGAAATTTTTTCAATTTTTGAGGATAATATCTTCAATTAGTTGCAATTGTGATCTTTTGATGTATGGTTGAAAGAAATCAGTTCGGCGAGAACTAAAAAAAAGTGGTAACAGACAAATAAAAAAAAAAAACATCATAGTAAAATTAATACCTTTTCAGGTTCGCATCGAAGCTAATATAAAGAGGTACTATTTTGTTAAGTTATAATTTAATACGAGTCAAAAGTAAACAAAATTTTTTTTAAAAGTAATAGGAACTTAATTCTGCTTTAAAATAATAGAATTCTGTCAAAAAAAAAATCTTATAACAAAAGTTATTAAAATTTGTGATAAATATTTGGGAAATCTACACATACAATTTTTAAACAAAAAAATAATAATAAAAATCAAGATAACATCTAGTTTATATAAAATAGTCTATAAGTTTATAAGAATAGTTTTAAATATGAAGTTCAGTTAAAATTCTTTGTACTACTTTACTATAAATACTATCATTGTATAAATTTATAATATATATATTGTTGTAAAACAAAAATAAGAAAGGGATATGATAAGATGGAAGGAAAATGTTATAGGAGTATCGCAAAATAAGAACTATCCCTTTTCTCGAGGTGTGTTGTTCGAGGGTCACTTGCTATTTTAAATACATGCACAATAAATTAGGATGTTGTTACCTTAATCATATAATCCTTATTGATACAATAATTCACTCGTGGAACAATAAAGAAAGTATGAATTATAATAACCAATTTGTATAAAAAAATATCTTCGATTATTTTATTATTAAAAACACATAATACAATAATAGTAAAGGAAAAACAAACAAAACTAAAAAAAATACAAAATTTGTTTAAAAGGCGAAAGAGAGCCGGACGATGTTCGCGACGTGATCGTAAGTCGGTTGGATCGGAACAGGTTGTGTCAGACGAGCCCATGGAGTCCTTTGGTGTCCTTCCAAAGTCCCCTTCCAGACACGTACATGACCATCGGCCTTACATTTATTTAGATTCTTTTGTTGCTATTTTGCTGACATTGTAAAAGGATTTTGTAAAACTACGGGGTTGTACATGTTGGGAAGGAACGGATGTGTGTGCATGGCGTGATTGTGTGAGTTGTGTGTGTATCTGCAGTCAGTGATAGAAAGTGTTGATTGTGTTTTGTAATTTATTGGTGTGTGGGTAGAAGATGAAAGAATAACAGATAAACATTTTGTTCGGTTGTGTGAAGGGCCTATTACAACA